GCCGTCCTTGCAGTAGCCGCGAGTTTCTCTGCGAATCAAATCCTGCGCCTCACCTGGATAGCGGTTGTGAATTTGCAGCATCTGGTCCGCGTGGTCTCGGTAGCCCACGGCCATCTGGTCCAGGTGGTCGAAGGTCTGCTGCTTCAGCTCATCCAAGGTTTCGTGATGTGCCGCATCATCGATCGCGCCGTGAAGGTCTTGCATCGTCTTCTCGTTCCTTTCACAAGTCTCCTCAAAGTCCTTTTCGCAATCCTCTACCTCGCCATTGTAGTTCACCTCGAACTCTTCCACTCTCTTCTTCAGAAGCTCTTGCTTGCGAGCCAATCCGAGGAAGAAGGTTATGACCGAAGTGACAGACTGGTGAAGTGCCTGCATGCGATTCGAACAAACGGCTGAGGCTGTTCAGCTAGACACTCTCTGCCTCCTCTTGCTGCGTCAGCTTGTTGGACAGGGCATGCAGGAGGGCGGCAACCTGCAAAGAAAGCAGCCGAACAGAAACAGAAAGGCCACTGACACGACATCTAGAGCACAAAAGAGCTGCCGGCCTGATCCAGGCACTCACGCAATGGCGGTCTGACCTCCACGCAAGCAGCACTTGGGACAACGATAACGCGATGTCGATGTGCATTTGCAGCCACTCCTCGGCATCGATGAGATTGGCCACAGAATCGTGGCCCTTCCACTCCTGGAGCGGCGGTTTGCAGCATGCAAAGACTGTGTCTGCAGTAGGATCTTGGGTGGTCACGCACAGCGAAGGGTGCTCGTGTTCAGGCCAGGCCCGGAGAATGGGCAACTGTCCGGAGTTCTGTGCACACTGTGCCTGTGTCCAACCTTCTTCTCCCCGTTTGCACAGAAGAATTGTCCGATCGCAGCTTGCCTGCGAACATTATCGCTCCAAGGCAATTGAATCAACTTTATACAAGGACGGGGAGGGTTCGGGCTTGCGATGCAAACAGCAAGGGGCTTTCGGAATTTGTGCGAAGCGCTTTCCGGACGGTGGCGCCTGGTCCTTCCGCCCGGCACCGTTGCAGCGGTGGCGGGGGCGCTCCCCGGGCGAGGCTTTAGCATTCCCCCACCACAGCATTGCAGAGACGGGAGCGGGATGGATGCCACAAGCGACGGCCACACAGTCGCATGCCCAACTTCAACTGCGAAGGCACAACGAAACGATGAGGCACAAACGGAAGAAGCCACAAACAACATTTGGCGAAAAAAATGGATGACGCGAAGGTGCATTGGTCTGAGCGGCCTCATCGTGAATTTTCGACACCCTGGTGCAATCCTGGGGTGGAATGATATATCCATGGGAGATATGAAAAGACAAAGGCGGTGCTTTTTGGAGTGGTCCCATGCATACATTCTTTTTCTTTGTCAAATTTGTGTCTGCTGGCCTATTCTCCTCCCCCGACCGTGCCAGTTCGGAAGCATCAGCATCTCAACGGGACAATTTTCCAGAGTTCCCAATGCACTCGCCCCTTCACAGAAAGAGCCCAAACGGGTTGGGCTGAGCTGGTCCTGTCTGGCGTCATGCAGCTCGAGTTCCAGCCCAAGCTCCCCAAGCATCTGTTCTGCTGAGACCTCGGCACTGACACCTTTATCGGGCTATGCTCCGAAGGGTTGAGCTCTCGGCGTTCAGAGCTTCTCTGAGCTCCCTGAGCTCCACCAGCAAGGTGTCAAAGGTCTCTTGGGCTCGATCCTAGGCAGAAGACACCAGAAGTCTCCGTCTCCCTTCGCCGAAAGCCATGAGCCCAGTCGCATTGAGCTGCGTGTTTTGCTCCTCCGTGTGCCGCACAAGAGCCTCGAGTTGACAGCATGCAGCATGCACTTTCCTTTTCTAGAGGAGACCGGGTAGTTTTTCCAGAAGAGCAACTACCACCAGTCGATGCTGTGGGATCGCGAAGAGCCTGAGAAGCCGCGACGGCGACAGGAGAAACGCATGAAAGCTCTCTCGGGATCCCACTCATCGATAAGATCTTTCCGTTGGCGGAAGACGAAAGCCTGGTGTTCACGTACTTTGCCGACAGCCTGGCACAATCAACGCTCTGCAGGCTAGTGCTTCGATGAACCCAGGAACCCCCAGGCATGCCTCAACCAAGGACTCAGGCTGTCTAAACTCAGTGCCTAGGGCCACAAGGCTGCAAGAAAGCCTCGGCAAAAGTCCAATGCCATTCTCAGGTCGCCACTCTTGATGCGGCGCATGACGACAGCCATGCTGTGCCGGTGCCTCTGTCGCACTGCACTCACCACATGCCGGAAATACAACGACTCTCTTCGAGCCTCGAACAAAACGATACGAGGTAACACTCTTTCTGAGGTCTGGACCTTTGCTGCTTCCAAAGTAGCAATCCTTTGTGCCACCGCACCTCGAGTTCACATGCATGGGTCAGACAGAACGGGCTCCTGCTGCAACCCGAAGTGCGCGCCTTGTACTCTTTGCTGTGCTCCAGCGTCTGGACCTTGCAGGCGACTTGTCTCGACTCTGGAACAACTAACTCAGCGCGGCTCTTTCGAGGTTCTGGCCGTAAGCTTGGCGCCGAGTTGCTGCATCGCTTTCCTGTGCCCGGGAAATGCCGCAAAGACCATCCCACAAGCGACTGCAGCTTGTGCTTGTCCACTCTGTCGTAGGCAAGGGACCGGTTTTCGAGCAAGATCTCGTTGAAGGAGAGGGCCTTTGCATTCCGGCTGTACCGCCCACTGGTAGAACCAGTAGCAAAAGCAGTGTAGGGAAAGCTGAGGCTTCGAACACGCTCTTCGATCAATCGCTCAGCTTCACCATGAACAACATGAGCCGCAGCTGTCAAAGCCTCGCAGGTCTGTAGGGCTTACGCACGGTGTCGTTTGCGACGATTAGGGTCCAATGCGGAGTAGTACATCTCCTGAGGCAGTGGGGATGTCAGTGCTGCCTCTACCAGTGTTTTGAGGAGTTCCTCCACACTGGACTTCCGCAGATCGTCGATGCGAGCCAGCTCGCCGCTGGGTCCCGCAAACTCCTCGATGCGGCGCCGCCGAAGCAGAGTCGCGGCCTCCCAGGTGAGAGAGGCGCGCGAAGTCTCACAAGATGCTCGCGCCCCACGCACGAAACAGCGAACACAAGGGCGAGAGTGAGAGAGGCATGGACATTTTTGACACTAGGAGTACAGGCGGCGGAACCGAGGGGCCTCCAAGGACGAGAGGATGCCGCGCACCTCGCCCTCCGTGCGCTCGCCCAAAGCTCGCAGGGCCTTCCGCGCGGCGTTCTCGGCAGCGACCGCCTTGGCTTTTGCCGGATCGATCGTGCCGTCCATGGGGAGATCCTCCAGTTCGTCCAGCAGCTTCGACTCGTCTTCCTCCTCCGCGTCTTCAGGGAGCGGTGGAGGCTCCAAAGGCTCCAAGATCGCGTTGCACTCCAGTGTACTCGCTTCCAAGTCTCCTTTGATTCGCTCCGTCGCTGCCTCGACTTCTCGCTGACAGTCTTCGGCCAGTGCGTCCATAGCTTGATCGAACTCTGCCAGCGCCGCATCGTGTCGCGCCTTTCGACTTGCAAGAAACTGCTTCTGTCGTTCCAGGCGTTTTTCCCTGAAAGCTCCTGCTTCGTTGCCCACATTGACAATAGGAATGCAGCCGCCACGGAGATCCCCGATGTCCAGAGCAGCAGCACCCGTCATCGGAGCCGGGACTCCTGCAGCTCCGTGGTGGAACACCGCATCTCGCCTCCTTAGATGGAGATGCAACACCAACTCGGACACCGAACCTCTGAGTCTTGCGGAGAACACTATAGCACTATATACTATAGTAGCATGCAAACAGCGATTTCGCTGAGATCGGTTCAGTTCTCCGCGCAGAATCTCGGGCGCTGCAATTGCTTCTAGAGGAGGTTGCTCTCGACGATGAGCTTCTTCTACATAAGCCAACTGCTGCTGCCTGGTGAGATTCCGAATGTCAGGAGCGTCAAACACGGACACACGCACAAGAAGCCGCAAGCCGGGGCAAGTGCTTCTTCTTCAGGTAGGCCGCCTGCTATCACGCGCAGATTCCGCGACTCAGGCCCCTTTACCTGCTTCCGTCTGTCCGTCTGTCCGTCTGTGCCTGGCCGTTGGCACTGGAGAGCCGCTCGGCTTGCAATGCTTCTGAGAGTTTCTGCGAGGCGCAGAAGGATTGCACGAAGCCCGGCGATGGAAGGTCGCTGGCATCCAACCTCTCTGCAAGTCTCCGTAAAGAACATGGGAAACCCTTAATACAGGTTTGGACACTCTGAGCACCGGGCAACGTGCGCTGCACATGCTTACCCTTCCTGCCAACTTTCGCAGGTGGGCGCGGCGGCGGAAGCATCGTCATCCCTTCCTATTAGGATTCCTTGCTTTCCGGTCTTTTGGGCTAAGGGGTCTACCAAACTAAGTGAGTGCAGCCTGAAAGCTTTTTGTTGCCATCTGGGACAGATTCATCTTGGCTGCTATTCTGCTGCAGCTGCTCCGAGCAGCTGCTCCTTTGATTTGAGCCGAGCGCCTGGGCCGAGCCGCTGAGCGCCGCGCGACGCGCACTGTGTTGGTGACTGAGACTCTTCGGGCTTTCGTCGGTGCTTTGGCCGGTGGCCGGGGTTCCTCCTTTTTCTTCCCCCGGTGCATAACGCTCTGGCTGCACTTTCAGCTCAGCTGAGACCAGGCTTATGACCTCGACGTGCTGAGGGATGAAGCATAACAAAAAAATCACACTTCCTTTCCGCTTGCTGCTACTGCAAATCATGCAACTTGCAACCAAGCGGACGCTCCCAACTCTGCAGTCTCACTGCGCAACCTGCACTTCAGAGGGCGCAGATCATCGGGTTCGAATCTCGATCAGCACCATAAATCATAAACACAGTGAACATGTCCCACCCTCCAGCTTGGAGGTTGCTTGAAGACCCTCTCGATGTTGCCGTACAGCAAACTATGTAAAGGTCCTTGCGAAGCAACTTTGCTGTCAGGCAACCGATGCAGCAATTTGCAGAGCTCCTGTACTGTACATAGCATCCCCGGCTGCATGGCTCAAAGGTAATCCTGCCTAGGATGCCGGTGAAACACAGATGCTTTGCGCAAAAATGCAGTCAACTCCTCTTGCATTCTAAGCGAGAGCAGGAGGTTGGGCGGGCTTGAGCGAGGGAGGGAGAGAGGGGAGGGAGGGAGAAGAGAAGAAAAGCAAGGAGAGAGAAGGAGAGAGAGAAAGAAAGCCTCTTCACTAGGCGACAAGGCCATACATGTACATTATACATGTCACTCTACTCCCAGGCAACATCTGGAAAGAAATGCCGACTCAGTTATGCACAACTGGACAATCAGACAGCCAGATGGGAAGCGGAAGCCAAACCGATGTTCAGCATGACTCACAATTTCTGCCAGGATTTCGAGTTTGGGTTTGGGGTTTACGAAGTATGGATGGTGCGCTTTTGGGTTTGGGGGTCAAAGGAATCAAGAGTTCGGGGATGGTAAGGCTTAGGGCTCCAGCTTTCATCGGGGTTGAGGGTTGTGAAGTTCAGCGCTTGGGGCTTCGGATACAAAGCTGTAGCTCTGGAGTTCAGAGCTTAGGGCGGGCGAGTTTGGGGTTTGGAGTTTAGGGCTTGGGGCTGCGGGAGGAAAAAGAAGAAACTGCTGATGCAGAAAGCACACACACTTACCCCAAAAACTGAATTCAGGAGAAGAAAACAACACAGACAATGAAGAACAAGACCAGATAATAGTCAAGAGACAACAATCATGAGTTGACGTGCCTGCCCTTAGGGAAAGCTTTACACTGCGAGTGACGGATGTGGTTTGTTTGCGGGTCCTTGGTGCCCTTTTCGTCTGGGTTCTCTTCCCTTCACCGTTTGGTATCTGAAATGGTAACAATCAAAGCTTTCCTTGGGAAGCGATTCTGTCGCGGCGGCTCAAAGCTTCCTAGGTGTTGGTTGTTGCGGCTATGACTTCCGGAAGAGTTCCATGAATACCACGAAACCATACTCTCATCATATGCCAGTCTGTATCTAGTAATATCATCGTCACTACAGTAAGCATAACAGTCACGGTGTCGTGCTTCTGGGCAACATTATGCAACGTTCTGCAGCGGCCCAAACAGCTCAACAGCTTCCAGTTTCGATTCTGCCCTCCGGCCCCTCTGAGATGGAGGCTGATATGCCTCCCAGCGTTCCGAATCCACAAGCAGGTCCACCTGCGCAACACAACGCGGCCAAGCCAAGCCCACCTTAAGCCTAAGCCGTCTACAAGCACTACGGAGTCTGCTGCCACCGGATCCAGAATCCGTAGCGGAGTCGTTGAGTTCTGACCTGCAGAGGCTGCTCAACACCAGCAACAGCAGGAGCTGCAGTGAATTCGGCCGCGTGCAGCTATATCCGGAGTGAGGACTTGCATGGTACCTGCGACAAGTATTCGAAAATGGATATGACTACCATTTTGCCGCAGCGCGCGAACATGCCATGACATGAAGTAACGAAGCAGCGAATCAGTTACGCCTGAAATTCCGACGGCTAAGGGTCTCCATAGAAAAGAACCCCGATGCACGGTTCAGAAGCTGGAGGCAACAAGGTGGATGTTGACATACGACTCTGAGCTGCACAGTTGGGCAGGAAAGTGTGTTCACGAAAGGAAGATCCTGCGCCGAATAGCTGGAACACAAATCACTCCACCAACGAACCGTTCGGGGGCCGGCACGTCGTCCAAGAAAGTGGCATGGGCGGAACAAAGGCCAAAGCTGCGAGCTCGGACACCTCAAAGGATTGAACCGAAATCCAAAGCAAACAAACGGATTTCAGCAGGCATGCCGAGCATGCCTGGCTGAGCCTCCAACACTGGCTTGGCAGGGCAGATCGCTTTCAGGCTGTGCGCCAGCCTGCATGATTTCACGCTCAGGACAGCACGGATTGGATGCAGCTTCTCTCCTGAGATTCCAGAAGCTCTGCTAGAGGAAGTCGTTCTTTCTTCGACGACTCTGGCCCCAACTTGGGGCTGCGACCGCCCTCGCCTGCAATTCGATGCATGCTGTGTCAGAACATCTTCGAAGGGCGACCTGTTGTAACCATCCCTTGCATGCCCCGCCTGCATGAACCACTTTCGGAGGTGTGCGCGCATCTGGTGTCTGGAATAAGCCGATGAAGCCTTCCCAAGAGCTTCTGGCGCAAACAACACAAGATATCGCAAAAGGGGCGCACGTAATCACAAGTAGCTCTTGCCCCACAGTCACCAGCATGTCATGATGTCACAGCCTTTTTCTCGAACCGGTGTCTTCTGGGGACTGAATGAAGGTCTCGTATCTGCATCATTGCGGCTACATCGATCCAACCTCAAACGGCATGACATGACATGTCCTCAGGCTGTCACTTCCCAAATACGGGCTGTAAGCAGCCAACCCAGGTGGTGCAAAGGCCAAAGCCGCGAGCTCGGACACCTCAAAGGATTGAACCGAAATCCAAAGCAAACACACGGATTTCAGCAGGCATGCCGAGCATGCCTGGCTGAGCCTCCAACACTGGCTTGGCAGGGCATATCGCTTTCAGGCTGTGCGCCAGCCTGCATGATTTCACGCTCAGGACAGCATGGATTGGATGCAGCTTCTCTCCTGAGATTCCAGAAGCTCTGCTAGAGGAAGTCGTTCTTTCTTCGACGACTCTGGGCCCAACTTGGGGCTGCGACCGCCCTCGCCTGCAATTCGATTGCATGCTGTGTCCGAACATCTTCGAAGGGCGACCCGTTGTAACCACCCCTTGCATGCCCGCCTGCAGGAAACACTTTCGGAGGTGTGCGCGCATCTGGTGTCTGGAATAAGCCGATGAAGCCTTCCCAAGAGCTTCTGGCGCAAACAACACAAGATATCGCAAAAGGGGCGCACGTAATCACAAGTAGCTCTTGCCCCATAGTCACCAGCATGTCATGATGTCACAGCCTTTTTCTCGAACCGGTGTCTTCTGGGGACTGAATGAAGGTCTCGTATCTGCATCATTGCGGCTACATCGATCCAACCTCAAACGGCATGACATGACATGTCCTCAGGCTGTCACTTCCCAAATACGGGCTGTAAGCAGCCAACCCAGGTGGTGCAAAGGCCAAAGCCGCGAGCTCGGACACCTCAAAGGATTGAACCGAAATCCAAAGCAAACACACGGATTTCAGCAGGCATGCCGAGCATGCCTGGCTGAGCCTCCAACACTGGCTTGGCAGGGCATATCGCTTTCAGGCTGTGCGCCAGCCTGCATGATTTCACGCTCAGGACAGCACGGATTGGATACAGCTTCTCTCCTGAGATTCCAGAAGCTCTGCTAGAGGAAGTCGTTCTTTCTTCGACGACTCTGGGCCCAACTTGGGGCTGCGACCGCCCTCGCCTGCAATTCGATGCATGCTGTGTCAGAACATCTTCGAAGGGCGACCTGTTGTAACCACCCCTTGCATGCCCCGCCTGCAGGAACCACTTTCGGAGGTGTGCGCGCATCTGGTGTCTGGAATAAGCCGATGAAGCCTTCACAAGCGCTTCTGGCGCAAACAACACAAGACATCGCAAAAGGGGCGCACGTAATCACAAGTAGCTCTTGCCCCATAGTCACCAGCATGTCATGATGTCACAGCCTTTTTCTCGAACCGGTGTCTTCTGGGGACTGAATGAAGGTCTCGTATCTGCATCATTGCGGCTACATCGATCCAACCTCAAACGGCATGACATGACATGTCCTCAGGCTGTCACTTCCCAAATACGGGCTGTAAGCAGCCAACCCAGGTGGTGCAAAGGCCATTGCCGCGAGCTCGGACACCTCAAAGGATTGAACCGAAATCCAAAGCAAACACACGGATTTCAGCAGGCATGCCGAGCATGCCTGGCTGAGCCTCCAACACTGGCTTGGCAGGGCATATCGCTTTCAGGCTGTGCGCCAGCCTGCATGATTTCACGCTCAGGACAGCACGGATTGGATACAGCTTCTCTCCTGAGATTCCAGAAGCTCTGCTAGAGGAAGTCGTTCTTTCTTCGACGACTCTGGGCCCAACTTGGGGCTGCGACCGCCCTCGCCTGCAATTCGATTGCATGCTGTGTCAGGATATCTTCGAAGGGCGACCTGTTATAAAAAACCATGCCCCGCCTCCAAAAACCACTTTCGGAGGCGTGCATGCATCTGGCGTCTCTGCTACACCGATGCGGCCTTCATAGACACAGGTGGGTTCTGTCCGTTCCAAGCGTCCATTCCGAGGCAACTGCCTTTTTCTCGCACGGGTGTCTTCTGCGGACTGAAAGAAGGTCGCAAGTCCGCATCGCCGTGGGCATGATTGCACCGATCGCCCTTTGATTGCAGCACAGCGATGCGCAGCGGAAACAGATGTGGGCGCTCTGACTAATCGAAACAAGATGCTTTCTTGCAATGGCCACGCTCGTAGAAATTGCACATCTGTGTCTTGTAGATCCCTGAAGTCACGCGGAGGTCCGAATCTCCATGGGCAAACCTTGAGGCCAGCGCCAGAAGAAGCCAAAGAAATTTCTCTATGCGTCAAGGACCGGACGAACAGTTCTCCCCATGCGCGCATTTGCCCTGCAGAAAGGACCTGGCAGCAGCGTTCTCCAAGCGCTCCATGGCTGACGTTCAACACCGCCCAGCTTGCTTGCATAGCTTTGTCTTCTGCCTCAGCTTGCCCGTTGTTCCACGTCTCCGCGGACCGAGACACATTTGCAGGCTGAGCCAGGAACAAATTCGGTGGGCATCGCAGCTCCTCTAAAGAATGCGCGTACCTCATGCGAATCGGCCCAGACTTTGCATACTCAAGGGACAGGCGAATTTTTCCAGGCCTGCAGGTCTCCGAAGAGCACTTCCCCTTCTCGTAGAAGCTGCACCTGCAACGTAAACAGTCACTCTCTTTCGGCAACTTCGGAGGCGAAGCAGCAGAAGCACGCTGGCCACACATTTTCGTCTTGGCGAGCTGTAGGACCACCGCGCTGTCCCTTCTTTGCTTCTCCTCTTTCCGGGGCGACTGTTTGCTAGCTTTCCCGCAGCACAACACAGTGGAAAGAACCCGCCCAGGCGGTTCCGACCTTTGCTGAAGGAGATGAAGACAACGGTGATAGCCTTCAGTTCTCTCATTTTCCGGCTCTGGGAATTGAAAAGACGGACCCGCCTTGCGAGGTCCCTTGTGGCCTCAGACTCAGACGCCTCACAGACTTGCGCTCTTCGCTTGCGGTCTTGAAAAGCTCCGAAGAGCTCGTGCTGGGCCGTGCTGGGCTGCCGGACCGGTGCTCCTTGCATTCCATCGGACATTCCATGAATATGAAACTCCACCAAAAGCCAGACTGCGGCGGGTGGGGAAAACGCACCCAAATCCATGTCTGTATGTTTTTTTGGGAGGTGTTGGGGAGGGGGGGGGCTCTGCGCAAGACCGTGCATTTCTGAGCGGATGTAAATGCCAGCTCAAATCCCACGCCGGGACTACCTACCTATGCAGGGCTAGGGATGTCCGAGACTTGTGGCTGCGTTGCAGCTGGCTGTACATCTCAGAGAAACCCTTAGCTCTTCTACGCGTTGCTATAGTGCCTTTCCGCCTTCAGGAAAAGCAATCTGTTCCTCCAGAACTGGGAGGCGAATTCAAGTATTGCGACGATCGGTGACACTGAGTCGCCCATCGCCAACTTGCTCCCGACCTTGGCAGTACCCAAACTGCAGCAGTCGCGGCTCTAGAGTGCTTCAACAGCTACCGGCATCCGTGAGCCACTGAGCCTCTGGCCGTGATGGGCAGGAGCCATCGAGACGCAAGATCAGCTTCTTACTGGCAAGATGCATGCGTCTCCTTGTGCATGGCCCTGGATGCCCTGTGAACCCACAGTTGGACTGGGTTGTCGCAGGGCGCTCCGTCTTAATTAATCTGTACGACATGCAGGGCGCAAGGCGACTAAGGCGGGTCGCTCACAGCGGGTCCGAAAGGGCATGAAAGGAAAGTTGCGAGCCGAACTTTCTCCGCGCTGCCTGTAGAATGTGGCGTCCATTGACGGCACGACGAAGCTTTGGACCCAGAGCGGTCAGCAAATGGAGAATTCTTTGTTGCTCCCTGCCATGGCAGTCTTCAATGACCCTCTGCGCGATGTAGTTTCCGAACCGGTCCAAAGCCATTTGCGTGAAGGGAGGATTGGAAGCTTCTTCTCCGAGCAGTGCCACCATCAGTGCATCCCTCTCCTCCTGCAGTTCGCGCCGAAACTCCCCTGTCATGGCCTCTAAGACCCGCTCCAAAACCAGGCTTGAATGTCTATTCCGTGCGTATGCCAGGATGTTGCAGTCATCAACGAAAAGCCTCGCAATCTGCTGTAGATGTGTCGGCCTTCCTCGTGCAAGGACTGCACGAAGAACATTATTGCCGTAGGGATCCTCAGAAGCGCAAGGGTCCAAAGCTACGCTTTCAGGAAAGGGGCCTGCTACAGTCACCGGTTTTGGATGTTGGACACAAGCCCCCCTAAAATCATCGTGGTGCAGCTGAGGATCCGTTGCCAGCTTCTGGAGTTGGTTGCTGGTGAGAAGGTTATTCAAGAGCTCGGCCATACCCGGACTGTCGTGCGGGCAGTGCTCAATGATCCGCTGCAAGACACGGCACGAGTAGATATGTGATGCAGCATCTACTGCGTGATTCTTCAGCTCCTCCACGATGAAGCCCACATCACCGTGACTTAACAACTCGACACATTTTTGTAGAACGAAATTGCCATGCAAATGCTGACTGCAGGCCAAGACTTTGCCTCGTAACTCGAAAGCTAGCAGAGGATGGAGTTCTGCTGGTACGCACTGGAGTGCTTGCTGTACAATCCAGCAGCCATGCTTGTCCTGAGTTGATGCAGTGATTCTAGCGCTCTCTCAGAGAAAATCATACAATGCAAACGACTTTTCAGCTCTTGCACCTTGGTCAGCTTCAGAAGAGAACCGCGAAGACGTCGGACGATTTTCTTGCAGAGCTCCAGGCTCAAATCGTCATCAAGAGTGATGAGCTGCAGGATCACTTGCGAGGCGTGTGGATCACACGCAAGGCTTGGCAAGTCTGGTAACAAGGACAACACCAACTCCGAGCGGAAGTTGGAGAGGTACGGTGCTTGAAGACCCGCAAGCTGGGCACAAAGTGCCTGTGTACCCTCCTTTGTGCAGATAGCACAGTCCACTTTGGGTACCTTTGGATCTGATTCCCTTCTGGCTCGCCTCGACTTTGATTTGCCAGACAGGAGGGTGGGCAAAGATGCATTCTCAAGTCCTGGTGGCGGCCCGAACATAGAGGGAGATAGATGCTCGGAGAGCTTCAGTGTCTGTCCATGTGGGGAGTCACCTGCCTGAGGGTCAAGATTGCGAGGTCTCGTCCTTAAAGCAAAACTGCGAAACAAACCTAGTCAATCCACCTGCCTGGGCCTCCGGGTGGTGGCTTGCATCTTGCACTATTTCCACGGTCGGGTAGTCCTTCGTCTCACCAGCATGACTCGTGGGATGCTGCATGCCCTGTAAATCGCCCTGAGACACGTAGCCCGAATTCAAAGTCGGGGTTCAGTTTGAGCCCAGAAGTGCTCCAAAAACAACGAGAAGTTGTGTCATCTGCATGTAAACACATCAAACCGTGACGGAATGTGCAAGTAGCATTCGTGCTGTTTGTGAGCGTTTGCACGTTCGGCAGGATGCTCCGCAGTTCTCTGGAAGAGCCTGGTGCTCTTGGCCAAGTTCTGAAATGCTGAGGCTGACAGATGCAGTCGCGCAGTGGTCACGCAGTCTGCTGGACATGTCGGAATCCAACCCGCGCATCCCCATGCCCCACAAATAGTCCGGGTAGTGCTCAAGCACGTCTCCATGTTGGCCTTGGAATCCTTTCCGAGGTCTTGACGTTCGCTTCCGCTTCATCTCGAGTTCCTGCTGAACCTACTTGGCCTTCTCCTTCTCCGTCTTAGATGCGAGCTGCTCTATGAACTCCACATCAGTCGAGAGCAGCACTTGGCTGGGAGTGTAGTACAAGCACATCGAGAGAAAACTGACGAGGTAGCCAGCGGCACTGTGAAAGCCCATGCTAAAGTCAAGGAAGATTGCAGAGAAGAACGCAGTGAAGGCCATGGCCTTGAGTGTGCCAACGGCTAACTATCCAAGCGCACCTCTGATGCAAACACATTCCAGGACACCCAGTCTAGGGCGAGGACGGCGCTGACGGCATACAGCTTAACAATGGAATCCGCATACCTGCCAGGACTCGGAAACGTGAACAATAGCTGCTTAGACACGTTGTTGAGCTCGCATCTCGTTGCAAAGCTGCTTATCTCGAAGCCTAGCTTGGAGGGGCTCCAAGGGAGTTGGCAGAAGTCAGCCAGGGGATGCTGGATGCATTGTGACATTTTGACATACCTGACTGGTGTCCCTAATCTAAGCGTACCTGATGTGGGTGAAAGCTACCAATGAAGTGCCTTTGGCTGATCTTTGGAGCTGATTCCAAGTTTCGTCTTGAGAGTTTTGAATTCTAAATTGCTATGGGTTGTGCACGGGTGGAAATCCTGCTTAGGATTCCGATTCGTGGCCAGGAATCCCCATCGAGACTGCTCCGGGCAGATACTCCAGGCTCAGCGAGGCTCCGGTCACAAGGACGAAGGTCGACATGCTGTTGCGAGGAGCACGCTTGCCGAACGCTACGAAGTGCATGTATCGACTTGTTCAGCTGAGAGAGACATGCAGCACCAACCCGGCGGCCTAAACAGAAAAGCGATAGACTGGCCCAGGATAGCATTGCATAGCACAACCTCAATCACTGCGCTTGGTGCATGCGAATGCACAGCTTATCCTTCTACCCCTGGCACATGTGCAGGAAAGCTGCACTCCAGGGCAGCAGCGAAGACGTAAATCCCGCGAACGGATCACGCACGCCTTCACCTGAGACTCAGAGACACTGAAGGCTTCCAGCCGACGGTCCTACACGGCACACATTGAATGACACAGCCGAGAAACCATCCACCACCAACAGCTGAAAGACAGCGGCTGCCACGCCGAATCCGTAAAGCCAAATATTTGCCTGTAGGAGACTTTTGGATGTGACAGTATTACTACAGAATCCCTCTCTGCACTCGGGGGTTTCCCACTGCCTCCAAGACATTTTGACTCTTCTTGATAAGCCACTCGTTGAGCACCCCAGCCACAGCTGAGCACCTCAGAAGCTCCACAGTTGCGACATGGGCGACACAGGCCACAAACGCGCATAGCGCTGTTGACTTGCGTGATCCGGCAGCAGCCTGGGAAAAACTGCAAAGGAACCCTGGACTTGCCGGATTCAGATCAGGACTCGAGATTCTGTTGCAAGTGCCCGGTCGTTTGACAGATCCCTCGACCCACCTTCCAAGGCGTAACCCCAAGACTCTAAGACTGCTCGCGTCGACATGCTCGACCCCAGGCTTGCCCATGCTGGTTTCTGCATCAGCTCGCGTGACCCGCCGGACTTGGGACCGCTGAGGCAGCTCGCGCGTCTGTCAAGTTTGCATAGGTCCGGTCGCTTTCACAGTCGACTGCTGCTGCTCTCTGCCAGCACCCACGACCAGTGTCTCTGTTGCTACATTCCACGATGCATCAGACATTCAGAGCAAAGGGCCAGGAGACGGCCAGCATGATCAAGACTCCCGTACGAGCATCCTGCGACTACACCGCAGTGATCCAGTGACGCAATGAGGACAACATGGCACAACGGTCGCAGGGTCTGGGCCTTCGCCTGGGCCTGTCCCGACGCGGATTCGCCACAAGGGGCCGTAGCCAAGGCCATGCCTTAAGGCGAAACGAGAGGAGCTTGAAAAAACCCGGCGCACTTCTTGGGCAAACTCTCAGTCACACACCCAGAACCAGCAGGAGAAGTGCCACCCTGACGTGTCGCCGAGCCGAACAACATCTCGCAGATGTAAACATGCCAGAGCTTCCACTGCAGCACACGGAGTTGTCGCCGCATCACCTTTGGCATACCAACAAGAAGCAAAGCACACGAAGACGTGACTTCTTTACTGGGTGGCAGCAAAGCGACAACACGGAATACAAGCGAGGTGGTGAAGAGCTTGATGTTATTCAGCAGCTGGTATTCCGGAGGGGAAATCTTCTGCAAGGCCTCAAACCTGCGCTGGAAGGAAAGCCACGCAACCCAAGCAGTTCTGACGGATGAATTCTGATGCGGCTCAGGAGACGGCACTAAGTCCCTCACACAAGGCGGTTCTGCAAGGTGTACAGCATCGCAGGGATAGCATATAGCCACCGCCCTGACAAAGACATAGAGGCACGCACCTGGACAAAAAGAACAGCAAAAGCCATGCTGCCACAACGCATAACATGCTAGGCCTCTGGAGGCAGCATGGCTGCAGCAAAGACCAGCTTCGTCAACTCAGCCAAAAGGACTGCAACATCTGCGCTGTACCTCCCACTGTCAGCTGAAAGGAGGCCGCTAACAAAAGGCATGCACCACGAGGGGCACGTTACTCGTTTCTTCGAAGCGGTGATGAGCAAGCTGGCCGGGAAAAGCTGCAAAAGTCTCACACAGGCAGCAATTTTCTTGTATTCTCGCCTCTGGACGGAATACGACCCCATCAGCATAACCACCTGGCAATTGCAAATGCATGTAGACTGCCAGACGCTACGAAGAACTGGCTCGTGGCACCAGCAGAAAGCGGTTGCGAGCCCATCGATCGACGAAGTCTCGCATGGCGACGGTCCATACGGCGGCACAACAGCTTGTCTTTTTTCGCTATCGCAGGACTGAACCTCAATGGTTTTGGGCTCCGAAATCCCACCGACGGGCTTAGGATGTGGTGTCATCAATCAGCTGCAAACCCAAACGATAGCTTAGGGGGGCCAACACAGGCATTCATGCTCGAGCAAGACCTCATGAGCAGCAAAGATGTCCCCGATCCCCTCGAATTCCCTGCTGTTCTCTTGCTGTGCATGTACGCGTCATGTCTCTGTCGCGGGAGGTGACACCTCGCATGTCCTTGAGGCGGCCCGTGGGGCTTCCCAGAGTTGCAGCTCGTCCAGTCGTACCGAGATCGCGTCCTCTTGCTTCTGCGCGGTAAGGCGTGGCAGGCGTTTGGGCAGGCGATGGAACCTCGAAGCTCCTCGGCTAGGAAAGAGAAGCCAGAGAAACGTACTCCTTCGCCAACAGCTTGTCATTCTGCATTGCCCAGGACCAGAGTGCCCGATGCCGGTCAAAAAACGCTTCACCGGCCGGCGGATGCTCCTTGAAGTCCTCCAAGCTCCTTCCCTCGAGATACGGAATCGACTGCATCAGAACGAGCTCTTTGTGGTCGGCATGCGTGGCACTGGCCGCCGAGGCAACCCCGAAGGCGCCTTCGCGCTCGCCTCTCTCCTTGAGGATCGCGGTGAGCGCCGTCTCCATGATCTCGGGGGCACTGGGAAACATCTTGGAGATTCGCTGCTGCAGCGGGTGCTTCCAATTTCGCGGCCATTCGACACAGCTTAGGACTATGTAGAAGTACTCCCCAAGCTCCCGATAGTTCTCTTGCAGCAGCACGTCCTGATCCTCAATGCAGGTCACCGTGTTGTACATCAGAGCACTTAGGACCAAAAGGACTTCGTTGTGCCTGAACTGATAGTCCACGTCCAAGTTGAAATGGGCCCACAAGGTCGAAAGCAAGCCGATGGCTCGCGGCAGAGCTGGGCCACCCATTTTTTTCAAGAGTTGCAAGGCCTCGTCGAGAATCTGAGCCTGCAGAAGCACGGTTTCATACTTCTCCGTCAACGCTTCCAAGTCCAGCTCCAGGAGCTCACACTCCCGCTCTCTCTTTGTCGTGCTCGCTTCTGGCTCAGTCTCTTCATCGGAAACCTTTTCTCTCAGCATCTTCACATAACCTGCGACAGGGGTGCAGGAGCTTCGGTGAACATGCCAAGTGTCCTGTTCGCGAGTGCTGCAATAAAACACCGGTCCCCACTGTCACTACAGGCTGTTCGCATTGATGTTTTGCAAGAGCGTCAATGTCACCTAGACCACGGTTTCTTCCAGGGATAGTTTTGGATCCCTTTGCCCTCAAGAGCGTGACGGTGCAGCAGGTGAAGGCAAGGAGCAATCTTGGCTTCGCAAAGTTTCTGCAAGGAAGGACAGTATTCGGCCCTCATCTTCCGACGGCCAGCATCGAACCTGCCTTTGCGCATCCAAGCTCTTCTTGAGAAGGTAATGGAATACCTCCTGCTCACCACCAGATTTGTAGATGTAGAGCTCGATGCACATCAACGCCTCGGAAGAGTCGAGAGGACTAGCAGACTAGCAGTGACTAGCAGTGAAGCAGAAAAAGGAAGCTATATAGACTGTGACTAGAACCGACGAGAAGTCGTTGAACCGCGGCACGGGATCGTTGAGCTGCTTCCGATGGTTCGGGTCCTGCGAGTGCGGATTGCCAGAGGCATCTCCCAGAGGCTTCTTGGGTTCCCAGTGGTGCAGAAGCATCGCGTACTCTTGGAAGATGGCTTGTGCGTGCTGCCGGAGCTCACGGGCCTGTCAGGGCCACTCCGTCAGCACCCCATCCCCTTCCCAAACCGCGTCTCCTGCCCGGCCTTGACCTGCTCCTCCCAGCTGCCGCGTTCATTCTGGAGTGCTCGGTTGTCTTTCTGGATCTCCTCCAGAAGCTCGCCAGGGATCTCAATGTCTTTGTCTGCATCTTGTTGAGATTCTGCCAACTTGGCCTCCATGTAAACGAGGACATAAGCAGAGGATCGAGACTTCGCCTGAGCCCCCGTTGTCCCTGCGACATCGCCCTGGCCTTCTCCACCCAGTGCAGCTCTCCGTACCTCCTCCCAGCTGACAGTCGAAACGAAGGAGTCACTGAAGCGAAGCCACCGGTCTTGGCGCCAGTCCTTCAGAAAGGCCACGTAATGACCCGACCTGGCTTCGGCCTGCTGGCCTTGATGGACCCAAATGCCGAAGAGATGATAGGGCTCCTTCTGCAACGCAGAATAGGCCTCCAAGAGCTCTTGGTCAATTTTGCAAATCTCCTCTTGCAAACGTTCCTCCTGTCTTTGGCACTCGTCTGCCAACGCCCGGAGAGTTTGCACCGGAATCTCGGAAGCCTGGCAAGCCTCAATCCAAGCAAGCTGTGCATCTTCTCCTGCCTGTTTTGATCGCAGGGCGGTGAGAGCTGCACAATGAACAGGATCGCCGGGATTGGGCTCTCCCGGCGGGCTGCCGCCCGATCGAAGGGTGGCAGCATTGGCTTCCAAACAGCTTGCGGCACTTCGAAGCACCTGGGTCACCGGAAGTAGATGTGTTGAACCTGCTCCAGCCTCCAGGGTCGAGTCTAGACAAAGTAACACCAGATCATCATATCTGCAACCTACACAGATCTACACCGAAATCAGGCATCATGCTGCCGACTACCGACCTGATATTGCTGGAAGGATTGCAAAGCCGACTGTTTCTCATCTTTCCGTTCACGGAGTCGTTGCACGGTCTCCTCCACCTGCAGCACGGTGGCCTCGTTCCTGCCCACACACACACACACTGGCTCTGACAGCCACACTGAATCACACCACGCGAGATTGGGGAATCCTCTGCATGAAACGATCCGGAAAGATCGTGGTCTCGAAGTCGAACTCATCCTCGAGCTTGACCTGTTCCTGCTGGCATCTGCAGGCATGTGCAACGGGCAGAGAACACACATCACGCATCACTTCTCACCGTCCTTGGTTTCTGGGTCGAAGGCCACGCGCTGCAGCTGAAAGAAAAGAAGCTTCGGAAGTCTTCTGATCCACACGCGGGTTCGGCCTCGTGCCTGGCACAGAAGCTGCATCCGCCAACAGCAGATGAGAAGCGACTCGGAACTGCGCCTTGCTGCCCGCCGGCGTGGTGTAGTCAACGCTCTGTTCATTCGCCGCTGCCCAAGCTGCATACAAATTCTTGTGCTTCACATCCAGGAAGATCTGCAGGAAGTCGCTCTGTTCTGAGCTGACGATGGGCTTCGTGTTGGCCGTTGCAGCGACTTTGCCAGTGGGGGATGCCGTACCCTCGGGCTGCGCTTCGATGTAGGAGAAAATTTGCACCTGTTCCCCGTAGAGCAGCTCATGGATGGCCTTCGAACTTCTTGAGCTGTCATCCTCCTCGCAACTTTGATCAGAAACTCAAATCAGAGACAGCTTCACGGCAGTAGGGTGGAGGCTTCGTTGCGCTCTCATCAACAAGGGGGACCAGTGGGCTTCGCGTGATGCTCATTGACTCATTTCTCATCTGAGGCTCTGTTTGCAGAGCTGGGGGAGGCGCGGGGGCATAGTTTCGGTAGCACGAGCACTTGTCAAGCTTTGAGTTTCGAGTCTGTTTGGCAGGCTTGACCGTAGCTCCCCCCAATTTGCACTCTCCTTCTGTGTGGTCGCATCTGACGCAATTCCCTCCTGGCCAACAGCGGGCAATCATCCAGAAAGCGGGAAGATAACAGTTGCAAGTCTACCGCACTCCTCCAACTGATCGACGAATTTCAACATGAACTCGCTCACATCCTGCAAACGGCCGCGAATGCCAATGACAGAGTCGAGAGCAGAACCAGTCCTCTTGGCCACCCACCGGAAGCTGGTGGCCCTGTAAATCCACCAGCTCGTGCAGGAGCTGAGATGGGCTGACGCAGCTTCGATCAGACAGACGACCTGACTCACATCATCTCTGTTCCGTCCATTGAGCGTGACATAAAGAAGGAAGATTTCCAAGCTTGGGACAGTATGCGAAGAGCTTTCTCAGCTCGAGCACAAGCTGCAAAGCATGTTCACGGCGGCGTTCGGCAGCCATACTCTCAGCAGTTGGGGTGCCTCGCAGAAAACACGGCTGAGTCGCATCCCAACATCATCTGCAGCAAAACAGAGACACGACAAAATTGCAGAGTTGCATCCAAGCACCCTCGCCACAGCTTTCTTCAGGCTTCGGAAGGCTCAGAGGCCGAAAATGCAGCAGTTGATCCCGAAATTCTTCGGCATGAAAAAGTGTTTGAAGCAGTGAGTTGACGTAACCTCACGCACACATCATGCCGACAGAGTGCTCAAGCATCACGAACACTTGACAAACAAAAATCTCTGAAAAGCGGCAGGTGTTCCCGACGTTCAACAATCCGCACGGAAGCCCAGGCGGTCGCGGCATTTGCGGAGTTGGCACCATGTCCTTCAGGGACAGAACTGACAAGAGTAAAACGAGCCGTCCATCCTGAATTGCTACGTTCGAGGCTTACATATGCATGAGACTGGCACTGCAAAGAAGACATGAAGTGTTGAGAAATCCTCCATTGACAAGTCCCAAGCTGTGCAGAGGTCATCTTTAGCACGATCTAATCCAGGCGGCCTGTCAGACCCTTTCGCATAGCCGGATGTGGGCTGCTTTGGCAATTCGGGCCATTCGTTGTCAGTGGGAGCCGCGTCTCCCGCCAACGGGCTGAAACGATTTGTCTTATCCACCTTTTCCGGCTTTGCCTCGACTTCCGGTTCTGGCTGCGCACCGGTCAACAATAGCTCAAGTGCCTGCTCCATGTTTCCACCCGCTTCGCGCAGGGCAACCTCCGCTTCAGGATAAGCAAACCCCATGTCCACGAGTTGCTGGACATCGTGTGCCATGGCTCACAGTGCTTCAACCACGATCGTCGAACTGAACAAGAGCTGGAGCTTGCTGCAAGCGCGCGAACAAGCATCTCAACATGCCAACCAACAAGCTTGACACGTGACCGCCAACTTGAACAACCCAGAACTGTTCCCCAAGGCGCTTCACAGCAGTCTGTAAGTCGTCGTCTTTGTTATCGGGACTTTCTCGTTCGATGCAGGTCATCTCCCTGCCCGAACAGAACATCCGGCTTGATCTTGGTGATGCCTTTTGTAAACAGGTTCGCCAGGCACAAACAAACCACCAAAGAACAAAGAATCACTCGATAAACCAAACAAAAAGCTGTGCTGTTGCTGTCGCCCAGACAAAAGAAACGAAACAGTTTTGCACAATTTTGGGCCGCCATGCCGAAATACCGAGTGCTCCAAGCAAGATGTACTTGTGTTGAATTGAAAATCTAGACCCAGCAGTCACGTAGTTCAGAAAACGTGCGAAAATATAATTAGCCCTAAAGGTTGTTGTTGTTGTGAACTTTCGAAATTTCTATGTTTGGTCAACAGTCGCCCTACGATAAGCATTGCTTCAGCCCCACTCTCCCCAGCTTGCCTCCAGGCGAGCCGTCGCTCTGTTCAGAATTCACGAGAAAACTATGCAGCAAAGGAACCCAGTGACGAACTCGTGCTTTCCAGAACCCGGGTGGGCGGGACGGGGCCATTCAAGCATCAGGGTAGCTACCTTCTATAAAGACTTCGAGGCGGCTAGAGCAGGTATGCAAGGGTTTAGGTTAACCCTCAAACCACACACACCGCAGGCACAGGCTACTTATTTTACTCACCTCGTGCCAAAAGGGGCTACCAAGTACAGCTATACAACGGCAGTAGTCAGAACATGCTTTATATCCTGACACCCTTCCATGGCCAGCTGAATCCTTGAGCTGGACAGCTGACCTGCACTACTCACGGGTTGCAGTCTGTACAAGGACCAAAGCTTCTTTGCGTAGCCTCAGCCCTCTGCAACGTGTACGGGTTTTGGCCCAGGTGTCTACAGTGTCTCCTATGAAACTTCTTGCCCTTACGGGTGACGTAGACGGGGCTACCCGCATTCGCCTCTAGACCTCGTCGGTCCACGCGGCCTCCAGCTGTAGGGGCCGGCTTCGTTGAAACACGTGGCGTGGTCCACCACACAAACGCAAACTTGATCCATCGCCAAATGGTCTGGATCGCCAAGATATGGATGATCAGCATGTAGATGAAGAAGGAAACGTCTTCAGTCTCGAGCTGGCGCTCCTTCGGCTGCCCCGTAGCCACGCCAAAGGACGCGAACAGGCACGCCATGACCAAGCCCCTTGTGAGAGGCATGCCCTTGACTAGCTCTGTCACTCTTGAGCCTGAAAGAGCTTTCGTGCCCAAGTCGGCCCAATTACTCTTCGTAGGTTCCTTCTGCACCGTAAGCTGCTTTCTCTGAACACAGTCCTGTATCCAAAGCTCCTTCATGGACAAGTGCTTCACCTTGCCCGAGCCCTTGCGTGTCGCGATTCCCTTCGCTGCGCTCGAATCGGTTCTCAAGGTAAGCTTCAAACCCTTAAACCCAATCCGTTCCCAGATCTGCGCTGTCAGCAGTCCGGCGGCAGCTCCTCGCACCAACGCGTAAAACTCAGCTTCTCCAGAGCTGAGCGCTATCACCGATTGCTTGGCACACGAAGCATCGATGAGATGCTTCCCAAATCTCTCAGCGTAGCTGGACATAGACTTACGCGTGCGCTTGCACGCTCCCCAGTCTGAGTCCGTAAGCACCACAGCTTCCTCAGGCTGCTCCTGGTACTCGTAGTGCCAAACTTCCTTCGGGTACTTCAGAAGGTAACGGCCTAGGTGCTTGAGCTTGAGCTCGTGTTCAACCGTAGGCTTTGCCATGCCAGAGGTGATTTCCGACAAGGCATACTGGATCGTCGGGCGATCCTGGGACAGGTAAAGCGCAGTACCAGCGAGTCTCCGGAACTTCGCTGCAGCCTCAGCGTCCAAAGGATCTTCGAGATCCCTGCGGCCTTTCCCACATTCCGTAGAACATGGGGCGTCTGCGCTCTTAGCGTCCGTAAGCCCGAGCTCCTCAACGATCTGCCGCGAGTACTTAGGATCAGCTTCCCAAGTGAACCCGCGCTCGCTCCATCGAATGATGCGGTGCAGATGATCGCCATGCGTGGTCTGGCCTCCGAACTCCTCAGGGCCAATCCGTGGCAATATCTTGCTCTCAAAGGATTGCATCATCAGCGCATCCAGTCGATCCAGATCGTCGCTTTCGCCCTCAGCGATAAAGTCGTCGCCGTGGCAGCTCAAGGTCACGCACCACTCGTCGTGGTAGAAGAGGCCAGGGATTCCTGGAACCTCCCAGAAACCTGCCTCCGTCATGACCTCACACACGCGCTTTGACCACTGTCGCGAAGCCTCACGTGTGCCATTCATGGCTTTGAGCAAGTACCAGAGCTTCGATTGATCGAGATCTTTCGGAGGGACGACCGCAATTTTGCCCGTGGCCACCGCATGAAAGAAGGCAACAGAAACATCACCAGGACGGGCTAACCGGCCACGTGGCAGCGGCCACGTGTCCATCCGGCCGCGTGCCGTCATCCGGCCGCGTGCCGCGTGTCATCCGGCCGCGTGCCGTTCGGTTCGGGTGGTGAAAAAACGCTGTAGTGCTGTTAATTAGCGATAGAAATGGTGCTTCGCGCATACAATTCGAGACTTGAAAGCACGTGCGCTTCCAGTAAAGCGTATACAACTTGCACTTGCGTCCGTGTTGCAGCCGATATACTTCTGCCTTCCATCGACTCCAGGGAGTGCAGCTATACATCAAGCGGCACGCATCCGCCATCAACTGTGGTATTCGTGTTGTATCCTGTGCGCACAGTCCATGCAACGAGCACGTATACACGTGCACGCACGCAGGGAAAGCGCACGCGATAGTAGTTGTGGTGCAGCATGTGCATATGTATATATATATATATATACATATATATATATATTATACTATATGTACTAAAACTATATAGTATCGATCCTGGCACGCACGCCGCGCGCGCGCGCGCAATGGCGCGCGCGCGCTTGCGCTTGCGCGCTTGCGCGCGCGCGCGCGCGGGGTTGCGCGCGCGCGTGTGATTTGCGCGCGCGCGCGCGCGCGGGGATTCGCGCGCGCGCGCGTGCGCGCGCGCGTTCTGGGTTTAAGATTCGAAATTGTATATCAAATACATTCTGCACATATATGCACACGCTACATATTTCTACACTGAATGCTATACGCGTAAATATGCACTGGGACGCGCGCGCGCGCACGCGCGCGCGCACAGTGGCACTATAGACGTATATAAGTATTCAAATTACATATATGTATACCAAATTTCAATTTTATTTTATCATTTGCTTGCAAATGTTGGCGCGCGCGCGCGCGCGGCGCTGCCAATTACTATTTTAATTCGAATGTAATATAATATATATATATATATATATATATGTTCAAATATGTGTATTATATATATCTGGCGCACACGTCGGCGCGCGCGCGCGGGAACGCGCTTGCGCGCGCGCGCGTGGGGATATGTGCGCGCGCGCGCGCGCGGGGATTCGCGCGCGCGCGCTCGTGTGCGCGCGCGCTCTGGGTTTAAGATTCGAATTTGTATATCAAATACATTATGCACATATATGCACACACTACATATTTCTACACTTAATGCTGTATACGCGTAATTACCATGCACTGGGACGCACGCGCGCGCGCGCGCACGCGCGCGCGCACAGTGGTATTCAAATTAAATATATGTATACCAAAATTTAATTCTATTTCATAATTTATTTGCAAATGTTGGCGCGCGCGCGCGGCGCACGCGCTGCCAATCACTAATTAGTATTTTAATTCGAATGTAATATTATATATATGTATATGTTGAAATATATGTATATTATACTTGAAGGATCGTGTCGTTTACTATTTGGATATGCCAGTTGAAGAAGATATTATGTTGGCTAACTGAAGATATAAGTTTTGTAAATCAAGTTATAACTCCTTCAAGTTTGGTAAGTGATTTATATATCATAGTAAGTGCAATCAAGCACATATAAATATTTGTCATGGTTCGTTTTCAAATACAACATTTAGGTAAATGGTTCATAAGTAATTAGTAAATGATTATGCATGAAATATATTTATTTGGATGACAACTTATAAGTCAAGTAAGTGGATTTATGCTGTGTTGAAAAGACACAGGAAAGCTGGCCAGACAAAGAGCAAACTTGCATGAAACACGTGCGAGAGCGGCATTTGGAGACATGCGACAGACTGCTTGCATGCATGGGTGCTGCATATATCATGCAAACATGATCGTCGGCAGGGCAATGCTCGTCGGCAGAATCATGTGCATGCTCCTCATGATTCATGAATCACATGCACTTTATATTCATGGCACATCAGCTGCTCAAGTGTGTCCGCACGGTTTTCGGTGTTTGCCATCCAGCTGGTGCGATGGATGCCGCTCTTCTCGCAAGGTGCGAGAGCATCCTTGACTCCGCCAAGGACGGCGAGGGGCTCGTGAAGAATGTTCACGAGTGCCTCACACTCTTGGAGTCCCGGGGGCTGCTGTACAAAATGGCTTTGCACCCGTCGATGATCGGCATATCGCCGCTCAACCGCGACGGGAGCGGCGTGAATGCCGTGGACGTCCACGATTTGCTTTCGGATATCTTGGCCGCAGGCTTTCTCGAGGACCGGGTCTCCGCGATCGGGGTGGAGGTGCAGTCTGCAGCCGAAGTGACTTGGAACGTGGAGTTCTTCAAAGCCACACACGGAATGCTGGGTACCTTTGACCCCAGTGCCATCAAGTGTCTAAGCTTGGCTGGCTCGCACACAAATTGTGTGTTGCGGATCCTGTCCCAAGAGATCCAGCACGAGGGAGACGAGAGCATTTGTCACGATGGACGTCTCAACATGGAACTGCTCCGCAAGAAGGATGAAAGCTTTTACAAAGCCGCCCAAAATGGGGTGACGTGGAAAGTTATCACCAAGGAAGCTGCAGCAAGTCTGCCACATCTGATGTCGATGGTACAAAGAATGGGAAACGCCACTCTTCAACGCCACGAACACGAGTTGCAGCTGATGCGTCGCCTACACGGCATGTGGATGCTCGAAGCAACCCAGCACCAACACGTTGACTTCATGACGATCAAGAAGCGAGTGACGACCGGAAAGACTGTGCATCACAAGTCTCTTCCACACCTCTACACTTTCGCCTTGAAGTTCGGGGGCGGTCGCATCCCGTTCTTGTTGGACGAGACGGAATCCTTCGTGAGGCGGCACAGCCCCAGCACTCGGAGCCTAGGTGCTGAGTTCTGGGACAAGATTTCCCAGGAGGTGAAGGGCACAAACCAATTCCCCAGGGCCAGGCATTAACTTGCCCCGTGATTCCGAAACAGAACATGTTGAGCTTTGTTGTTGCATGTTGCACACATTTTCACATATATGTTTATCTGACATTTAATTTCGAGAAGCCCAGGTGAAGCTCGCATATGCCAAAGAGATTGCTCAGGCAGCTGATGTCAAGAGGCTGTTACACAAAGACCTCCTGAGCGAGGTTCGCACGGCGGACGGGTTCATGCACCAGTGGCGATCGTTGGTAGAGAAGCTCCCAGAAGGCACGGATCTTCTGAGAATGCCCGAGCTTTCCACAGCTCTCAGCTTGGCAGACATTCATCTCATCGGTTTCGTGTTGAAGATGCCACTGGAAGTGAAGCAGTACACTTCGAAAGAGGCCCTGGCACACGATGTGGTTGTGATCATGCGAGGCATCTGCCACCGGCACATCGAATCGCCATGGGAGCAGCATGCCATGACAGTGCAAAGCGAGTCGGGTAGTAGCCCAAGCCCAAAAGTCACGACGATGCGGGAACTCAATCCCGATGGGACCGTGAAGGATGGCCTGACCCTTCTGCAAGATGCAGGCTTCACCATCGGATAGGAGGAAGAGCGATGGCCAGTCCGGCCAGATCGCGGGGTGCCAAGCTGGGAAGGTTCAGCTCAAGCAGATCGATGGCACTCTAGGCAAAGTCGTGATGGATGTGTTTCTGAGTGGAGATTGGGTGACCTACACTCCCAAGCCCGAGCCGGTGCTTCTCAAAGACATCTTGCAGTATGCCCCAAGCAAGCATCCTGATCTTGAAAAGCAGCGAATGCAAGCCATGATCACACTCGACATGTTGGAGTTGCAGGCTAAGCATGAAGCAAACACTATGCTTTCACGGCTTGAGATGCACTTGAAGCCGCAGAAGAAGGTCTTAGCCGTGAGCAAGATTCCCAAGAACAAGTTGATCGTGGTTCCGTGCTCTCTCCAGGTGAAGAGTGGCACGAAGCTGCCGGATGATTGCATCGAGATCATGCAGCCTTTGGCAGGGGTTCACTTTTGGTCCCAGCCCATGTTGATGCTGCCCAAGGCCGAAGGGGACCCCGGGTTTGCCAACCCGGCTTTCATGGTGCAGACCACACACGACGAGGAGGTCGGCAACATGGAGCTCTCTTACATCAAGAGTCACAGGGACAGCAAGGTGCACTTGCCGGTCCTGAAGAATCCACGGGAAATCGCAGAGGGTGAGAGCCTTTTCATTTACAAGCCCAAGGTTGAAAAGCAGGTTGTGCCTCTGGATGCAGATTCCCCGAACCGACCCGGGAAGAGACTCCGCACTAAGGGTCCGGGACAGTGAGGCATGCACATCTCATGCACATGCACAGGAGGTTTCGTGGAAGCATTGGCACTTGCATGCATGCAGCCTCTGTGCTGGCACTGGCATAGATATCGATTCTGAGCGCCTGGCAGGATGGGTGCTTTCGAGCATCAGTGCAAAATGCTGCATGTGCAAACTTTGCTTCAGCTGCTCTTCGTAGTTGGCACATGACAGTGCCCAGTCAGTTTTGAAGTGTTCGTGCATGCCTGAGTGAATCGGTGCAAGAACTCGGATGTTGCCGGTTGCTGTGTAGCTCATGAGCTCTCGAGTCCTATAGAGATTGTTCCACGGACATGGCATCTGGTTCCGAACACGAAGAAGATGCTGGGCTGCGACTTTGCACAAAGACTGTGGTTTGGCTCCGGCAGACCCACAGCATATCACATGCACCATCATGCACATGCCACGATGGTTTTTGGGGAAGCATTGGCACATGCATGCATATATGCTTGCTTGGGCCACACAACGATCTTCATGACACCGCGAGGATGGCAGCATTGCAGCATGCAGCTGTGCAAAAAATGCCATTCGTGATCGCTGTTGTGGTGTGCTGTCATTGGCAAAGCCGCATTCACTTGAGGTGCTTGCATGTGCATGAGCGAATCCTTGCATGACATGTTACAGCTTGTATGTGTAGTTGAGCTCTTGTGTGCACACACCTCCCGTCGACATGGCTGATGATTTTGAACATGAAGATGATCGTGACGTTCGACTATGCACAAAGACCGTGGTCATGTATGGGAAGGGCGAGCAGTGGATCCCGACTCAGAAGAACGAAGAGGGCATGGTGTGGTTTTCGGTGAACGGCAGGTGGGACAGAGGCTTCACGAAATTTGTGTTCGGCAAGGCCCTAGATCTCCGGAAGGACAAGGATAGCCGGTCGTTAAACAGCAAATTCTTCGATGACTTGATGACCCAGAGACAGACGACATTCAACGAAGTCATCCAAAAGCGCCTGCAAAGCGAAGACGACGACCAAGAGGACACCCCGCCCCAAAACAAGAAGGTCTTCAAGAGTTTCAAAGCCACAGCTGCCAAACATCAACAATATGCCCCGTATTACATCGACATGCAGTTGCCTGCCATCGAGGAAGGTGGCCCGACTCCCACAGCAAAGGTTCTCTTCGAAGGGCTTGGCAGTCATACTTTGTGGTTTGAACTTACAAAGGCGAACTTGCGACACTTGAAAGCTGGCTTTGTGAACTCGGAGAGCAAGGACCGGCAGCCCCGAGGAGCCAAGAGAAAGAAAGAGATATAGGCGGCTAGCTTTTTCGCCGGCAGGGCAATGCTCGTCGGCAGAGAACATATAAGCACGAACATGATGCAATCCCGACTCGTAGCTCATGTGCATGCTGGAAATCAAGAAAAGTGCTGCTGTCTTTTCTATGTTTTTCTATATTCATAGAAAGAAAAGTCTTTATATCACCAGCTCCATGTCAGCAGTTGGGTTTATAGGGGGGTTGTGCTTGGTTTTGCGATTCGCAACTGTCCTGCAAGCTTGACTGATGGCTGTTGATCATGTCAGGATACAATGTCTTGTGCAATGCATGGTGCAGGCTCCGAGCTGGTTTTGTAGGCATGGCTTCGCCTGTTTTCCGAGGGCATGGTGTGCTGTGTGTATACATATACAGACACGTGCCACATGTGATAGATGATGCTCGCATGCCATCACAGCAATGCACCAGGCAATGCACACAGCAGTGCACTATATGCAATGCACATGCACATGTCATGCAGACCCTGCTGGCAGCTTCATAGGGGGTCGCCATGATGCGGTTCTCCATCGGAGATGTGACCGAGGATCGACCGGCCTTGTTCGTTCGCTTGGACCTTATAAATGATTTTTTGTTGCAGGAGTCCGTGGACTGGAGCTCCTTCATGCAGGTCGAGCTGCTGGGGGGCATGGAGGAGACGGAGGAGGCTTGTTGTATTTCACTTTGCTGAGTGCCGGTATATACTTGTACAATTGCAGGGAATGTGGACCAGCCAGTCCGGGGAGCTTCGCTGGACCAAGGGCAAGGGGTGGAGGATCCTGATCAAGGACGGAGGTCGGGCTTTCCGTCTGGGAATTCATTGTGTTGTTTTTTTAGAACAATATCCCTTGCAGGCATGTGCCTCTTCCGGCACCCGGACAAAAGTGCCGAGAAGCCACCCCCGGAAGGTCATTTGCTCGGAGTTTCGTATATGAATATATATATATATATATATATATATATATCGGTATCTGCAGGCTGGGAAGCCCTCGACTTCGACAACACGTGGATCCCCAGCACACTGCGGTTGGAGGACACCTCTTGGAACACCAAGCTTATATATAAGGCATGCATGCATGTTGCCAGGGGGATTTCGATGTAGAGCCGCCGGAGGTGCCGAATCCATCGCTTATAACGAAGTACTCAATTCAGCCCTGCATGCAGGCACGGGAGCCGATCAACTTGGTGCCTGCTGCAGAGGCACCAACTCGAAAACCGCGAAGTGTCGAGCCCTGTTTTTGCATGCAGATTGGCAGGCATCAGACAGTTCAGGCTTCGAGGAGCCGGCATGTATACTCGCTTATATATTGAACCTTTCTTATATGTGTTCTGGCAGGAGGTCGAAGTGGAGATGGAGATGGGCCCCGTGGTTCTGAAGCCGAAGGCTTCCATCCCGCCTTGGTAGATCCCTGCATGCGAGCTTGTCGCCCTGCACACGAGAGTGTCATGTCTCTGTGTGTGTGTATCTGAGTGTATAATCCAAACCCAAGCCCCGGTACCCTAACTATATATAACACAATTATATATAGTTCTGGGTGCAGGAGAAGAAAATGCCCACGGTGCCCAAGAGGAAGTGGCTGCTTTCGGAGGAGAATGTTCTGTTTCTTTGTTTAACCCACTCCTCCTTTGCCGTTTGCAGGAGGGCAGTGGCAACAAAAAGGCACGAAAGGGAGCCGGTGCCCAAGATCGCAAGCATCTTCATTTTGGATAACATTTCTAGTGTTCACCCGACAGGGTTGGCAGACCACAAAGATGCCGAAGGCAAGGGTCCGTGGGTTTATAAGGGTTTAGGGTTTATAAGGGTTATAGGGGGTTTATAGGGTTTAGGGCGATAGATTCTTGGATACAATGTGATATGCATGTGCTGTCGCAGGTGGAGACTTCGAAAAAGCCCCGGGAGCCAGAGCATCCGCCGAAGGGCAAGGAGATGCGGTCATGCATGGGGTGCAGTGGTTTGTAAGCACGAATGCATGCAACATGTGGTGAGGAGCAGAGGGCATCCGGATCGGGGGGAGCCTCTTCCAAGGCCTGATTCGCTGATGCATGATGTCGTGGGTGCACTGATAACATGGCACACAAACACAGAGAGACACACACACACACACACTACACAAGCACACAGGCACACACACACACACACAAAAAAAAAAAAAGAAACAGACACAGAGGCACACACACACACACACACACCGAGACACCGAGACACAGCACACACACACACGAAACACACACACACACACACACACACACACACACACACACACACACACACACACACACACACACACACACACACACACACACACGACACACGACACACACACACACACACACACACACACACCCAATCCTGACAGGACTCCAGGAAGTGGTGGCCACCGCCACCACCACCCCCTGCAGGGGGTGGGAAAGGCCATGCCCCCCCTCCCCCACCACCACCGGCGCCCCAGACTCCCCCCCCCCCCATTGCACCGGCGGGGGCGGTGGCCAATGGGCCGGTCCCACCGCCTGGGGCGGTGGCCAATGGGCCGGTGCCGAAGTGGGATGGAAAAGGATGGAGGATTGGGGAGTGGTGGATGAACCCCACCACTGGCCAATGGCACGGGCTGGGGGCTCAGCACTTCGTGGCAACCGGATCATGATGCATGTCTCGTGGCACATAGGCCTGGTGAAGGGCGATCGCGGCCACGATCTCGCGGTCAAGGCCGGGGAGTGCACGTGAACAACACATTGCGAAAGACATGCATGGTTGTGCACAATGGCAGGACCCATGAACCTGGCATGGGAATCCGTGCACAATCTGTCCGAGGCTGTGGTCGAGTGCATGAGAAAGGGTTAAGGGCTTATAGGTTGTCAGGTAGAAAAGCAGCAGCCACGAACGGCAAAGCAGCCACAGACTCACACAACACAGCAGCCATAGACACACAGAACACAGCAGCCACAGACTCATGCACACAGCACAGCAGCATAGACCCAAGCCCGTTTCTCGTGCACCGGCTGCGGCAAAGAAGCTAGGAAATTGACGGCACAGGCAGCGGGGCCAAAGGAAAAAGGCTTCATGTAAGGTCCGAACATCCGGGGCAAACTCGGAAGTAGGCCGTTCTAGTGCATAGGGGCTAGAACACAGGTTTTATAGATTGATATGGTTTTGGGTCCAGGAACCACATAACTTTATAGATTGATATGGTTGTGTGTGCCTTGGACCCTGAAAGTTTATAGATTGATATGGTTGTCTGTGTTTTTAGGCTACAACTTTATAAATTGATAAATTGTGGGCTCCATATTGCCAGCGATTTTATAGATTGATATGGTTTGGGTTGTGGTTTTAAAAACCCTTTATAGATTGATAAACTTCGTGCCTAGGCTCTAGCTAGCTTGGCAACCTCTAGGCTGGCATCCTTTGCCTCGCTTCCGTGTGCTGTCCGTTCGGAACCTCAGGCATTTTGCCTCTTGTACAGAACACACTGTTTGAAGAAGGAAGAAAAAAAGCTGGCTGCATCGGCTGCATGCACCTGAGATTGTGTGCACCTTGGGACAGGGAGTGTGTACCAGCCTCGCGAAGTTTCCATGTGTTCTGTGCAAGAGAGAGAAAGAGAGAGAGCGAAAGAGAAGCCAGAGGCAGCCCACAACACCAGAACTCGAACACCCCAAACAACAAAGCCACACAACCAGGAAGCACGAAAACACAGAAACACCAAAACACTTCTAACCCAGAAACACCAAAACACTGTTATATATATATATATATATATACAGTCCCACAATACGAAATCCCAAACCCCATGCAGACAGCAACCCAAACCACAAGCGAAAAGCCTGCAGCCCATGGTGGGGTGCAGTGGGGTGGCGGGGCGGTGGGGTGGTGCCACGTCTATCCGGAAGTGTGTGCATTCAGTGCAGCCAGAAAGAGAGAGCGATATTTGCATGCATGTTTGTGTGCATGTGCAAGGTGCCAGGTCCAGCCCGGCAGTGTGTGCATACATTGCAGCCAGAAAGAGACAGAGACGGTGAGAGAAGGTACAGAGAAACAACCAAAGCCGCCAATCGTAACCAACAAACTCGACCGCCGAGCCCTTTCCTTTGGAGGGCAGCACGTGACATGACACGGAAGTATATTCCCTGCATGATCGACAGCCATGCACGTCAATCACAGATGTGTGCTTGTGCATGCACGAGCATGCACCATTCGCTCGCAGGGCAGTGCTCGTGAGCAGACATGTCATGCATTGCCGCAGGTTTTGAGTTGCCGAGCAGAGCACGTCACGAGCCAGTTGCCACAACCCGCATCCATCATGGCAGTGCATCAAGTGTTGCACCCCGACATCCGAACACACGAGGCTGCCTTCGTTGATAAGTGGTCTTCTGGCGACTTTCCTCACAATGGCCAGTTTGAGGCTTTGAGTTATGTGTCGAACTACAGACTCACCCAGGGTTATGACGTGATCTCATTTCGTGGATGGCACTGCCACATGATTCGACCGTTGGCGAATCAGGATGGGAGTCTATGGCGGGCCATACAAAACGGCAACGTGAGACCCATGATCATTCGCCCGGCCCCTGCTGGCACCCTCTACATCAACCTTCAAGCCCGCCTCGAGGACGGATTTGTCTGGCTTCAGGGCACCATGCTGTCGGGCCGAGTGGCATGGAAAGGGAGACAACTGGCCACCCTTGACATCAGGATGAATACTGTCTCGGCGAGAGTCAGAACCGTTTTGTTGCGGCAGAATATCATCAGATCGACCAACAAGGTGGTCTTCATGGGACACACACGCATCCTGAGCAAGACGGCGAAGCTGTGGTCCCCACATGTGAAGAAGTCGCAATACCAGAAGCAGTTGCCTAAAAGGCGAATGGTCGGAAAGACCGACCCTCGCTACCTGGCTCTAGGGAGGCATATGGCCCCATTTTGATTTCAGTGTTGTTTACTGTGCCCATGCACTCTGATTTGAGTTTTGTTTCGTGTGGCACATGCACAAGAAGCTGCATCGGTTGAAAAAGAAATCATGCAGTCGCTCGTCCTGCTCATGCATGCATTCACAACATACAGACTTTCGCACAACACCTTTGCACACATGATGCATATATTCATGTTGTGGTCCTCAAGACAGGGTGCCTATTATATATAGTTTCTAGCTATTATATAGTCGCCCAGTGTGTGGATCCGAACCACTCGGGCAATGCTCTCCGGCCGGGTTGTCTGGCCAAAGAGCTTCAGCATGCAGAGCAAGAGATCATGCGATCCACGGGAGATCTGGCGAATGCGAACAGCAGCAAGGCGAGTTTCGAGCGGCGGCTGCCGAAGTAGAGGATCATCGGCAACACCGACCCGAGGTTCGTGGCTTTGCACAAGCATCTGGCACAGTTTTGATGCCCATGCAGAAGCATTGCACAAGCATCTGGCACAGTTTTGATGCCCATGCAGAAGCATGGCGAAGTTTCATGGAATACATGTTGAAAAAAGAAAGCCTGCATGCAGTCGCTTGCATGCTGTCCTGCATGCTCATTGATGCATTCACAAGATGGACATTCACACAACACCTTTGCACACATGATGCATGTACTCATGTTGTGGTTCTCAGGACATATCACGTTGTCTAGCACGATAGTGAAGATCCGCTGTCGCCAGCGAAGATGATGCAGCAATTTGCGGCGGTGAAAGCCATCATCGGGACCCTCCAGGATGACACGGCTCGCCAACATGTCTTGACGGCACAGCTTCACAGCTTGGAGCAGCAGCTCAAGGCGATGGACTTGGGCAACGAAGACATGGAACCCCTCATGAAGACCATCGCCGACTCCCCTTTCTCCCCGGGGCAAAAAGATCAGCTGATCACCATCGTATCCGAGAAGATTGCAAAAGCAGCTGCTAGCAAGAGGACGAAGAAATGCACTCAAGAACTGCCTGATGTTGCTCCGTTCCTCTCGGAAGACGATGTCAGTTGCCTGAGCAATCCCGATCTGAACGTTCTCGCAAAGGTCACACGGCTGAGCATGGTGTTCTCTCGAGTGGGGTGCAGCAACCCAACCGAGCAGTCATGCGGGAGGGCCATCAGCTTCCTCAAGCAACACATGCAGGTAGCAGAATTGGGGGAGCCGGGCGAGTTCTTGAAGTCTGTTCAAGACTTTAAGGCGGCATTGAAAGGACATGTGAAGAAGATGCTGCCTGCTTCAGTGCATGTCCAGACATTCAGCACTCCCGACCAGTTGCCAAAGGACCTGGCCGAACGTTGCTTCAAAGACAGCCCTCAGGCTTCGGTGCGAAGTGGCCCAGTGGGCATCACTGGACCCGTGAGGAAGTCGCACAAGAGTGTTTCGCCTTCCACTTCTGCCAGCTCGTGGCAGCATCAGCCGGGCATGTTCCCGAGTCATATGTTGCCGAGTCATGTGCCGCTGTTGCCGAGTCATGGGCAGCAGTTTATGACGATGCAGCAGATGATGCAGGCATACAATCATATGCAGCAGCAGTGGATGGCACCGCCAACCCCGAAGTCCCAAGGCTTGCCGAACCTCGTTCTGTTCAATCAACCGGGGCAGCCTGCAGGACATCAGAGTCAGGGAAAGCCGACCGATGCACAGATCGTTCCTTCCAACCAGGCGGGGCAAGGACATCGATCGGAGCCGCAAGGACATCAATCAGATCCGCATGGGCAACAGCAGCAGATTGAGAACTGGGGGCTGCAGTCCGAGACCACCAACGACCAGAATAAGCCGCCCCTGCAACCAGCCGAGCAAGCTAATGCAATGCTGGCGGCATGGGAGAGTCGCAAGCTGGAATCGGACAAGGGCCCGGCCATGAAGAAGCCGTCTGCTGCCGATGCCGCAGTGGGGCACGGGAATCCGAAGGCCAAGGCCAAATCAAAGGCGAAGGCCAAGGCCAAATCGCAGCCGAAGGCCAAAGCCAAATCGCAGCCGAAGGCCAAAGCCAAGTCGCATGCGAAGGCCAAGGCCATGCCCTCGAAGGAGGTGATGCAAACGATGAGCAAAGAAGCCCGAAAGCCCTACCGGCCTTTTGGTTGCCCCAAATGCCGACGAAGCCCTGGCTGCACTCCGTCGTGCTTTCGCTAAATGCACTCCATCGCACTCCATCGCGACAGGATTTTGAGGATTCTCGGCAGAAGCTATACTCGCGAGCTTTCCATGCATCATGCATCATGCAATGCCATGTCTGAAGCCCCTGCTTTCGCTAAATGCACTCCATCGCGACAGGATTTTGAGGAAAGTCGGCAAAAGCTGCTCGCGAGCTTTCCTTGCATCATGCATGAATGCCATGCAACCATGTGTGAAGCCCGTGCTGCCAGCTTCTTCCGGATGTGTATGTTGGCAGGCGAGTGTGTGTGTGTGTGTGTTGTGCCTGCAGTGTGTGCAGGCTCCAAGTGCTGAGGCATGCATGCCATGTGCATATATAGGTTCATAAATATATAATATATACACTGTAGGTTCAGGTTTATAAATACATAGGGTTTTCAGGGTTATAGGGTTTTAGGGTTTACGGTTATATAGGTTTATATATTATATAGGGGATGTGTATATATATATATATATAGGTCTGTCGGCTTATATATAAAGGGTTTTCCCTCGTATGTACTATATGGTATCTATATATGGGTTTATATAGGTATATATTGCTTTTACGTATCGTAAATTTATACACATATGTATATAGATGCTTCATGTTCAGACATGGTTCTCATGCACAAGTTCAGACTATATACAGACAGTCATCCGGTACCACGGATGCATCCAGCCATTGCTCGACTGCAGGGCACTTGCTCGTGGTCAGGGTTTCTTCCATTTTCACGAACTGACTCGTCGAGCACCTCTTCTGAATCATCATGACTGAGACTGCAAGCAGCTCCAAGGCTCCGTTGGCTATGTTGGGCCGCAAGGCATATGTGTCACAACACGGCATAGAGAGTGTGTTGACAGACTTAAAGAAGTCTGGGTTGCTTGCCGACGACGTTACATCTTCCAGAAGCTCCATCAAGCGAGCTCGGGAGGAGGACCTTGCATCTCTTACCGGTGTTTATGGGCCCTTGGTGCAGAAGATGGAGGTCCCGGTGGAGGGCCAGTGCAACAAGACGGTGACGGTGCCATACATCCACCCGGCTGCCTTCCTGAAGCACATCTTCAGTCTTGCTCCGTTGTGGGAATTTCTGCGACAGGAGGTGTTGCCACACAAGGAGACACCATCCTATGCTCGGCCATGGGGTCTCATTTTCTATGCTGATGAAGTGACCCCTGGCAACACACTCAAAGCCAACAATTCCCGCAAAATCCAATGTATATACTGGAGTATATCCGAACTTGGAAGTCGCGGTTTGGCGTCTGAGGCATTATGGTTTCCACTGACCTGCCTACGGTCGCACCATTGTTCTTCCATCGGCGGGTTGACGTGTTTGTGGCGACTCATGCTTCGACTGTTTTTCACAGATCACGACATGCGAAAAGGCATGGTGGTGGACACTCCGGAAGGAGACCATTTCCCCATCTTCTTGGACTTGAAGATCTTAGTCGCAGATGAAGCGGCCATTAAGCAGTCCATCGAGGGAAAAGGTGCCTCAGGCACCGTCTTCTGCTGCCGATGCAGCAATGTCGTTGCTGCCAGAAGCACGGTGAGTGACATGCGATCTGAGTTCGTGTCCAGCTTGTGCACTGATTATTCGAAATTTCGTTTACACACCAATGCCACGACTCGGGATTTCCTGGCATTCTTGGATGCACAGCATGGCACTGTTAGCAAAGCACAGTTCGAGGCCTTGGAAACAGCCCTGGGATTCAATCTGCGAGTGCACGGGTTGCTCATGGATGACATCATAGGACACAAGGTGCCTGAGGCCATAATGTTCGATTTTTTTCACATCTACCTCGTCCATGGCATCGTTGGAAATGAATTGGGCTGCTTCTTTGCCGAGCTTCGCGATGCAGGTTTCGGCGAGGATCGACTCATGGATTTTGTGTCCAGCTTTCGGTGGCCGAAGCAGTTCGCTTCACCCGATGCAAAAAGAGTTTTTGCAAAACGGGAAAAGAAAACATCTCCTGTGAAGGCTGAGGCTTCTGAGCTCCTCAATGCTCTTCCTGTTTTGCGAATCTTTATCTTGAAGTTTGTCATGACAACAGCGATCAGCCCGGGCACGGTCCAGGCATGCATGTGCTTCCTGATGCTGTGCAAGGTCGTAGACATGCTTCATGATGCTGTGCGAGGACGTGCTGTTGACCCGGCGGTCCTTCACGACACGATCGTGAAACATTCGAACTGCTTGCTAGAGACCTATGGCCAAGATATATGGGTTCCAAAGAACCATATGTCACTTCATCTAGGTGAATTTCTTGCAAAGTTTGGCCACTTGGTGTGGTGCTTCACCCACGAGCGAAAACACAAAGTCGTCAAGCGGTTTGCGAACCAAAAGCTGGATGGCTCCAGGGGCTTCGAGGAGAGTGTCCTGAAGGATGTCTTGGCAGTGCAGTTGAACTGCATATCTGCAGAGCTTCCATCCTCAAAGGTGCGGCTTATGAACCCCAAGCCGGCCCCGAAGAAGCTCGTTGATCTCGTGGGCCAGGTCATGCCATTTGCAACGGGGCCCATTTTGCATGATTTGCGGGCCATGCATGCCGGCGGGTTCGTTTGCACAAAAGGTGATATCGTCGCTTTGGATGCTACGACTGTGGGTCTAGTGCAGTTTCACTTCCAAGCTGCAGGCCAAGTCTGGACTTGTGTCACACCATGGAAGCATGTGTACGAGCACATGTTTGAATGCACAGACCTCGACCCCTTTATCACGACAACGGACAGCATCAAATCGTGCTGCATCTATTCGGAGAAGGATGGCAAAGCGATCGTTTTGGTCTAGCCGCTAGCCGAAAAAAATGCATGCGAGCAAGGTGCCCTGCATGCGAGTCTCTTTCATGAGTGCATGTCTGCATGCGAGCAGTGTGCCCTGCATGCGAGTCTTGAAGTCACCGCTGTATATACTTGCAAGCATGCATGCATGAATCATGCACATGCCTTTTCCTCATGCTTGCACTGCAGAAATATGTGCATGCATGCAATACTTTCTGTGGCGATATATTGCTTGATTTATCAGGCTCTGGACGGCTTCACTCGTGCTTATTGTCATGTAGGTCCTCGGTGGCCTCACTTCTCCTTCTGTGCTTTTGCTGGAGGATATATACATTTTATGTTCATCTATGTATGTGAATATTTGCTGATATTTCAACTTATCCCACTTAGCTAAGTCCAAATAAGTTCACTTAGGTAACTCTAGTTAACTACATAGATAAGTCCGTTTACACAAGTTATATAACCCCACTTATATCCCCCATATCCCCTGTAACCAAATACTAACCACCAAGATCCTTCAAGTATATATCTGGCGCACACGTCGGCGCGCGCGCGCGCGGGAACGCGCGCGCGCGCCAGCCATGCAGTAAATTGAATTAACTATATTGTTATATACTTATAGCTTTACACATATATATTGAATACATATATGGATTGTGGAATATATCCGCATGCGCGCGCGCGTGCGCGCGCGCGTGCGCGCGCGCGGATATATGCCACAATCCATATATGTATTCAATATGTGTAAAGCTAAATGTATAACAATATAATTCCATTTACTGCATCGCTGGCGCGCGCGCGCGTTTCCGCGCGCGCGCGCCGACGTGTGCGCCATATATATATATATACATATTTCAGTATAATTATATAGATATAATTACATTCGAATTAGAATACTAATTAGTAATTGGCGGCGCGCGCGCGCCCCGCGCGCGCGCGTGCCATTGCAGGTATTAAGGCTTGCAATGACATATATATATATATTTATAAATATACACAACGTTATTTGCTTTTAAGTACATCAACAATTAGCCATTGCGCGCGCGCGCTGTACGCGCGCGCGCGCCAGTCTATATAACTGTCTATTAAAAACTAATTGTATGAATACAAATATAGTGTACCTAATACGTGCCAACATTTATAAATTGATCATGCATGCATGATAAATAACTTATACTAAGCATAACGGATCTTGAACCCCGCGCGCGCGCGTGCGCGCGCGCCAAGGCCACGGCGAAATACGGTCGAATGACACGTCGACCTACATAGTACGGTCGAATATTGCCACGCCACGGCACGGCACGGCAATGTAATTCGGTAGAATGACACGACGTCACGACACGACTCTATATATAGCATAATACGGTCGAATGACACGACACGTCGCGACACGACACTACAGTATAATACGGTCGGATGACATGACACGTCACGACACGACACTATAGCATAATACGGTCGAATGACACGACACGTCACGACACGACACTATGGTATAATACGGTCGAATGACACGACACGTCACGACACGCCACTGTAGTATAATACGGTCGAATGACACGACACGTCACGACACGACACTATGGTATAATACGGTCGAATGACACGACACGTCACGGCACGACACCATAGTATAATACGGTCGAATGACACGACACGTCACGACACGCCACTGTAGTATAATACGGTCGAATGACACGACACGTCACGACACGACACTATGGTATAATACGGTCGAATGACACGACACGTCACGGCACGACACCATAGTATAATACGGTCGAATGACACGACACGGCACGGCACGACACCATAGTATAATACGGTCGAATGACATGACACGTCACGACACGACACTATAGCATAATACGGTCGAATGACACGACACGTCACGACACGACACTATGGTATAATACGGTCGAATGACACGACACGTCACGACACGCCACTGTAGTATAATACGGTCGAATGACACGACACGTCACGACACGACACTATGGTATAATACGGTCGAATGACACGACACGTCACGACACGACACTATAGCATAATGCGGTCGAATGACACGACACGTCACGGCACGACACCATAGTATAATACGGTCGAATGACACGACACGTCACGGCACGACACTGTAGTATAATACGGTCGAATGACACGACACGTCACGGCACGACACCATAGTATAATACGGTCGAATGACACGACACGTCACGACACGCCACTGTAGTATAATACGGTCGAATGACACGACACGTCACGACACGACACTATGGTATAATGAATGACACGACACGTCACGGCACGACACCATAGTATAATACGGTCGAATGACACGACACGGCACGACACGACACTACAGTATAATACGGTCGAATGATATGATACGTCACGACACGACACTGTAGTATAATACGGTCGAATGACACGACACGTCACGTCACGACACTATGGTATAATACGGTCGAATGACACGACACGTCACGCCACGGCACGTGTATATATTACGTTCGAATGACACGACACGACACGACGCGAAACGTCTGCATATTATACGGTCGAATGACGCCACGGCATGCATGGCCTTATAGTCGAATGATATATACGGACACGACACGCCACTTTATGCCACGTACGACACGTCGACGCCACGTATACACCTACGTACATGATCTGGTCGGATGACATGCGCCACGCCGCGCCACGACACGCCTATATACGTATAAATATATATTTATATTCGACCGGTGTATTATATATATGTACCACGCCATGCCATACATACCACGCACGTCGATCTACACGTGCCACATGCCGGACATGGCACGCTATGTGACTGTGGTATATATACACACGGTCGAATTCGATCATGCCACGGCACGCTATATATAGCTAGTACAGTCGAATGGCACAGCAGGCCAAGCCACGCCACGGCGATATATATTGTAATTATAATACGGTCGATATAGACATAGACGTATACGCGACATGGCTATATCGATCGACTGCCACGATATGTCACACTATATACGGCACACTTAATGACACGCCACACCACGGCGGTGCATACATATATTATAAATGTATAACCGAGCTTCCTGAATTAACTCACCGCGAAATATGTAAACAACATCCATATATGGAGACCGATCGTTTTTTGCTCATATACATATACAAAAACATATACATATATATATATATATATATATATATATGGCGCGCGCTCGGAAACATGTGTGGCTCCCCCCCAAACTTGAGATGCAGCTGATGATCTTGTGATAAATAGCATACATGGCAAGATGTACGTAGGCACTTATGCTGATTAAAATTTAACATCTGCGATCGACGGATAGTACGTTTGATAATTGCTTATTGATTTGGCTCAAACCGCAATCTTGCTGGCATGGGCCGGCCGGTTCCTGCATGCTGTCTCTTGCCTTTTGCAAAGAAACTAGTGGCAAGATTAAGCACGCTTGCTTCGAATTCGCCTTTGCGCTGCATGCGTTGTACAGATACGGCTCAAATCTGTTTCGAGAAAAACCCTAAGGCCCTAAGCTGTAGATTGGCTCAACTGTGTGGAGAAAAAACCTGAACCCTAACCCATATACATGCGGAGAGGCAGTGCCCCAATAGGGGTCGCTTCCTCTCTGCATACATATACTACAATTATATACGTGTGCATATAAACTTCTCATCTGGATCACATAAACAACATATACATCGCTTGGAGCGCAGGGCTGCGCTGGTGACCGATATGAGTGGTTGCACTCGTTCGAGCTGCCACTCCGATGGCTCTATCCTGGTAGTTTTCTTTCTATCTTTCTCTCTTAATTTTTTCGACTTCTCTCCTCTCGATCGAGTCCTCGATCTCGATATCATATCTCTTTTGCCCTCGATCTCGCGATCTGGAGCAGTTGCGATCTCTCGATCTCGATGATCAACCAGACAACTTTCGTACAGCACAGCGCAATTGTGCTAACAATATCGATCTGCCATGCCGAGCTGGAGGATTTGCAGCACAGCTCATTGCGCGGGAGTGCAGCTCCTCTACGATCCTCCCAATATATACGCCCATTAATAAGTACTATTCTCTAAAGCCAATCGATCGATCCTGTATCTTACAAGATCGCCGGTGATTTGGGGATCACAGGGAGATCCCGAACTCTTAACGTATTCACGACTCTATAGTACTGATCTCTTCGAGAAGCCAGCGCATGTGATCGATCGCTAGCATCGTTTGGGTGGCAAGTAGCCTGGGCCTAGTCCTTTATAATACGGTTTGGACTAGCTCATTATATAGAGCGTTGCTATCGTATTTGGTTTGTACTATATAGCTAGGGCAGGAAATATACGTAATCCACAAACAGGGTTCAGTTCTGAAATTTCCTACATCAGGCCGCGGGCAATTTTGCTCAGAAGGGCTCCCGGCAATGGCCGTGAAGAAGCGCCCTGCGCAGTCTGAGTCGTCGAAGTCTAGGTCTGGCAAGTCTGGCAAAAGTAATTGGCCAAAACGTTCTGCACAGGATAGCGGGCAGCCCGAGAAATCACCGGCAAAAAAAGTGAAAACCGAACCCAAGACTTTCGTATCCGTCGGTACAGGGACAGGGGCATGCATCCGCAAACTTTTGCGGCCTGCTCCCGGAAGTCGGATGGAAGAGGACCGCTAGTGCGTGCAGCGGTGTCTTGATGTAGGCACTTACACTCAGGATATTCGGTTCGATGTTTCCTACAGTGGTTCTTGATTTCAGCTCGTGTACGTTATGGCAGGATTGCCGTGCTCAATTATCTGCTAACGGCGACGAGGTCGTCGACGATGGCCTGTAGCTTACAATCTTACAACTTTCCGAAATTCGTAGCTTAGAGATCAGCCTCTCAACTCCCACACGTTTCGACCAGGCTTCAGCCTCTTCGCACACCCGGACCTCACAGTGCACATCGAGCCAGGCTCGCCCCGCAACTCTTTTATCCACCCAGTTCGGAACGCACGATCCCTCGCAGCCGGCGGCAGCGAGATCGAGGAGCCCGAAGCCTCCGACGGCAAAGCTGTCTTGTTTATCCAAATTATAACAGGGAAGTGTCTTCACATTCGCAGCCCATTTCAAGATGAGTCAGCACCAACGTGCACTGTACCTAGCGAAACGGCTTTGGGACACTTTTGTGCGTGCTGACGGTGGCCGAAGGGTTGCGCTTACAGGTGCCATAGTACCCTACGGGTCTTTAAAGTCGAGAAGCCTTCGGCAGCAGCTCCAGTGGGTCGAAACCTTGGATAACAAGTTCGTAACTTTAGCAGTTGCTAGGCGAGCTGTCGCAATCCTTGTTAACAAGTTCCACTTGAGGTTTCCTATCATACCCGGTGTTTCAGTTGCTTCGTGGCGCGAAGACCAAGCCCTACGAATCTCAAAAACGTGTTACCGTATGAAGAAGAACTCTCGAGCCCGATCCGTGAGCCGAACGCCAAATAAAGCCATGGTGGACGACACACTGGCCTATGATTCCGAGGTGCCTACGGTGCGTGCGTCTGTACGTGTTTGCATTAGTTTGTATGTGTACGATGTCGGCTATTGTGTCTGCACGGTGTGTAGTGTAGAGCCTTGCCCCCCGTCCGGCTCATGTCTTTAAGCCTGCAAGCAGGCGGCTGCGCACGAGTTCATGAATGGGTGGGCCAGGACTGGCAGCACATTTTGATCGGAGATGTGTTTGAGAGTGCCTCGGAAGGAACAAGCCGATCGCGGCATCGATGGAGGATAGCCAGCTCCCTCCCACGGACCGGCTTTCCCAGCTGTGCATCTTGAATAGTCGCTGGTTAAACGGTGCTGTAAATTGCTTGTGCGCAGGAAGAGGAGTTGAAGGCGGCCTTGCTTTCCCGTTCTGTTGTTCATGTGTCATAGCAGCCAAGACTAGTACACAGGCACATGAACTCGATCGTGAGAAGGAGGACCTGGAAGCTTCGAGGCATCATGCGCCATGCGCCCACATGAACTACATCCTTTGTGTAAATACCGATTATATGTGCAGGCACGACTACTACCGCACCAATGCCAATCACTGGAGCAGCGCCCGAAGCTCGCTGAACCCCTTATGTGGTAGATCGCTGGGTCCTGTGGCCACGAAGTGTATACTGAGGTCAAAGACACTTCGGACGAAGAGGAGGTGGCAAGCTTATAGAGTCCAACATGCTTTGCATTCGCGCGGATCACCATTGCGCTAGCACAGTTGCCCTATCTAGTGTTCAGTACTGCTGAGGGTGAAGATGATGAAAGCATGGAGCTTTGCGCTGACGCACTGCAAGCTATGCAAGCTTACCTCGACAAAAATCCGGATGTCGTTGCACTCATCAGGGAAATGAGTGATGAGGAGAAGAGAAAGTGGATTGATGAAGAGTGCTGGAAAGAGCAGCCCCATGATGATGACGAGTACGACTGGCCAGAGGAGACCAACATGCACGCGCACACACACACACACACTACACACTCACATGAACAATTTCATCGAACTGGCAGTCGGACTGCCTGGCATGCATAGAAGACCGTTCTTGCCGAGAGATTTGCACCCTTTCAGGACGTGGCTGCTGAGACTTCTGAGCAGGCGTCCCAGGAAAAGACTTGGAGTCCTGGCACAAGCGGTGCTTGGGATCAGGCCGAGTGGGGGAATGACCAAGAGGACAAAACTTGGACAGATCCGGTGCCCAATGCCTGGCACGCCTGGAGGAAGGAGAAGCAGGATGGGAGATGGCAGGATTGGGGTTGGAACTCCCCTGATTGGGGCTGGAACTCAGGCTGGTGGGATAAGAGCTGGGCCAATCGGTGGGAGGAACCACAAAAATGGGAGAAGTGCGAGGACTCGTCGCCTTCCGATCGCGAGGCACCCATGATTTGCCAAATCGTTGTGTCCATTCTTGTCTCTTGTTTCTGTGTTGGTTGCGCAGGCTACGGACGTTGAGAATAAGATGTCTACTGGGAGTGAAGCCAGAGTCCCAGCTTTCTGTGATCAATCCAAAAATTCGGTCTCTATCTGTCGTTTTCGCAGAAGATTACAACTGTGTTGCAGGCCAGCCATTCTACGAAGCCCAAGGCTCACTCGAATAACAGATGTGGTGAGGCTCAAAGACTCTTGTCTAGACGGGTGCTTACACTGCCAGGACATTCCCGACGTGGCGCCGGAAGTGGCCGAGGCGTGTCTGCAGGATGACGGTACGCCACAGGCGCATGCTTTCAAGCAAAAGCTGCTGGCTGCTGAGAAGCGGGAAATTGCGATGGCGAAGAAGAAATCCAAGAAGAAGAAGGGTGAAGAAGACAGCGCAGCCGAGCCCGGTGAGAAAGAGAAGCCTGCAAAGGAGCCAAACAAAGCCCCCAAATGCAAGAAAACAGGCCAGCCACTAAAGGAACCCAAGACCGAGTACATGGCACGCAAGAGGAGTTTTTTTGCGAAGAAGCTTGGTGGCACTGTTGGTTCCGTTCCTTCTGTGTACAACATGTAAGTCAATCTCTGTGCGTGGGGCATGCAAGGCAAGATGAGCATCTGAAGAATGCTGATACTGAGAAGCTTTGGAAGGCTAGCGATGCGCGCTCTAAAGTTTTGGCAGCACTGTCTCCTGCCGAAATCAAGAAACGTAGGTACTGAGACTGATTGCCGCGAGATGCTCGTGCGGAGCATCGTAGGGAGTGGAGCCTCGCAATAGGCAGTTACAATGAGCTGTGTATCAGTGTGCAATATAGAGGAACCTGGTCTGCTTGGCTTGAAGTCAGCTACTTGTGCGCATCCATATAGACATGCACTCTAATTGCTTTGCATCACTTGAACTTTCGCGAGCTTCCGCACTTTTGGGGCATTTTTGTGGGGTGGCTTCATACGAAGTCAAGTCTGATTGAGGGGACCTTTAAGCGCGGGCACGTGGCTAAGGCTTTGCAGGCAGCCGAAGTTGAAAGTCTATGCCTAGGCTTAGCAGCTAAGGCTTATTTACGTTCATTCCAGGCGCAAGCTGCGAGGCCTCATAGTTGCAGTGCGCGGGCTTGCCCGTGTTCAATCGATCGATGCTTGCTGGTCGCTAGAAATTCACGTGTCGCTGTGTGCTTTGACCCTTAATTTCCAGCCATGAGATTTGCTCTTGTATGGGTTGTTCTGCGCAAACTCTTTGCGCAGCTTGCAGAAGGCTCCCAGGGACCACGATGCACGGACTGTCAAATCAAGGTGTACTGAAGTTTCTGAAGATCGATTCGCTGTCTTAAGCAGAAAGCAGTAATGAAGTTCAGCCGCCTCGCCCATATCATCACTGCTCTGGTTGGTAGCTCCTGGGCAGACGATTAAACACCGCAAACTCAATCAACCATTATAAACCTAGAAGCTGTCAGGTTTCGGTGTCCTGTCCGAAGAGGACTTGGCCGATTGGCACGAACACTGTGCAGGCACGTCTACAACAACAGCTGCTTGCCTTGCTACTGCATATGCGAGCAACTCGAACAGGCCAACACCGACTCACGAACGGGGTTCTCTCCTTTGGCTACCGGGTCCGAGCTTCCGATGTGCTGCCCTCAATCTAGGTATGCATGTGTGTATGTGTGCGCATGCAAGTGGCCATACGTATGCATAAAAAGCAGTGTGAGTGGTTAATATTGTGTCTTCATGGGAAGCATTTTGGTGGCTACAACATATGCACACGAATGACGGTGGTTCTCGCGACAGGTCAAATACTCAAGGAAGATGGATTTGTTATCATCGTACGGCTTTTTGCTTGCGATGAACTCAGCTTTAGCCTCAGCGCACTGTGTCGATCTAGTGACTATAGTGTTCGTTTCCCGAAATTATGTTGGGGTTGAGGTACGCGCAACGAGGCGGTATGGGCTTCATTGGGTGGCATTGCCATGCTCCTCTTGGGTCTGGATGCAGCAGTCCCAGATGGCTGTTCGTTTTAATCAACTCCTTATAGCCTAGATTCAACTACAACCAAATCATGCTAACCAACTAATCTATAACCCGAGGGCCTAAACCCCGAACCCCGTTAACCCCAAACCCCGAACCCTAAGCTTCCTACACCGCAAAGCCCACATCCTCCAGCCAATCAGGTCTCGATCGAGCACAAAGAGACGGCGGCTTTCCCCCAAAGGCCTCGGACAGAGCGCGGAGTGTGTACACAACTTGTATTCCATCTCATATGGCTTGACGAGGCAACACACGCTTCAAGAAGGTTGCCCGGGCCAACCGACTCGTACGGCGAATTGTCTATTTGCTTGAACCTTAGAAAACAGGTAGCCTTTGTTGCGACGGTCACCCGTACATGAAATCCAGGCTGCAGTACATGTACCAGAAGAACGTGTACTACGTTCTCGAGAATCCTTCCTCAAGCCTCATGTGGTGCTACAAGCCACTTCGTGCTCGGTGCTTAACATAGTCTTTATCAGAAGTTGATCCCCTATACCTTGACCATACAAGGCTCTGCTGGCACGTCACCGGGCCACGACGGTGAAGATATCCTTGGGAGCTTTCGGCTCTCTTACCCAGAAACACGTGGAGTTGTATGGGACTTGGCCGGGGCTCGGAGAGCTGGCTCACGAGAGTCGCAAAAGGTCTGGCCCCGTCTTGCCGGGATCTCAACTCTCAGCTGTCAGCATGTGTGCATGTCTCAGTTTCTGATGCAGTTTTTGTTTGTCATGGTGTGTACGTAGGGGCACATCTGCAGGTATTCACTTGCATGCATAATTCCAATTACCTAGTGTTTGGTATGTATCGTGTGTCCATGTGATCTGTAACACTACTTGTGTATGTCAATTGCCAACCAACAAACCAACCAGCAGCCAGCCACGAAACCAACCACCCAGCCAGCCAGACATCACATACACATATGTATATATATATATATAGATATATATACACACACACATACACGTTTGTATCCTTTCTTCCTTCCCTCCTTCCTTCACCCGTACATACGTACATACATACGTGCATACGTACTTACTATATGCCCAGCGGTCTATACAGACCTACATACATGCATATCTACATACATACATACATACATACATGCATACATGCATACATATATACATGCATGCATACACATGCACATATGCTACTAGAGACATATATATACACATATATATATATATATATATATATAGTTTCATATTGTGTGGGTTTTTAGTTTCACGATCAGCATCATGCATATAGTACTATCTATGGATTTCTCTTTAAGTTGTACAGTGAGCTGGCTCTGTCAACATAGTTAGTTTATCAACGTGCCATGCACACGTGTACGTATGTGTGTGCACGCCCATCTCCTCCTCCCTACTCCATCTCTCGCTCCCTCTCTTTCTCTTTCGCTTTCGCTTTCTCTTTCTCTTTCTCTTTCTCTTTCTCTCTCTCTCTCTCTCTCTCTCTCTCTCTCTCTCTCTCTCTCTCTCTCTCTCTCTCTCTCTCTCTCTCTCGCTCTCTCTCTCTCTCTCTCTCTCTCTCTCTCTCTCTCTCTCTCTCTCTCTCTCTCTCTCTCTCTCTCTCTCTCTCTCTCTCTCTCTCTCTTTCTCTCTTTTTCTCTCCCTCTCTCTCCCAGCCCGACGGATGAACAACGAGTACAACTTGAGGTATTACCTTACATAGTGAAACAACAGCTACTAACTTGTTGCCCTTACAGTAGCCGTTTACACCAGCAGCGGAACAGGAAACAGCTGGAATCTGTTCCTTTATTACATCCCAGCCATGTATGTGAAGCACTAAGCAAGAGTCCGTTGATATGTGCGTGTGTGCGTGTGTGTCTCCATATGTGTACTCGTGCAGTAATATATATGTATTTACGAACCACGGAGGGAGGGAGGCCCGGGAAGGGAGAGAGGGAGAGAGAACAAGAGAGATCAAACAAATCAGCAAGAGGGTGTAACGGGCCAACAGAATCGCAAGGGGTTTGTTCCTATCGGGTCGGACGCAAGTCGGTTGGCATTTGGGTGCTATGGGAAGGGTCTCTACCGCGATATTTCGCTAGTCTCGATCGAACCCATCGATGGGTTGGCCTGCTTTATCGTGCTGAGGTCGAAAAAACTTCGCCGGATCAGAAGCTGGCTAAAACTCGACACGGTTCGGCGGTACAAAGATAAAAGAGGAAAGGCTCGAGTCGCCGGGGGCTTGGCGTTGATCGGTGCTCAGGACGAAGCATAGGATAGTTTTTGTCGATGATTGAGGATGGGGGCCGAGACTTACGAGCTACCGAAGCATACCCAGCCGGCCTGGGCTTTGCTGTGATCCCGGCATGTGATGTGTACGATTCGTAACCCATTAATGCCGTGGCCGGTGTGCTGCAGGTTGGCCGCTATATGCTCAACACGACGACACAGGACTTGCGTGTAGCTGAGCCAGACGAAGGTATGTCTTTCAGAGATGAGGGCGATGACTCCTCAGATTCCGGCCTAGGAGACGTCCTCTGAAATTCAGGGTATGTGCTAGGCATTCGCCCGTTTATCGATACATCAGGAAGCTGTTATGTTTGAACACTACAGGTTTCAGCCACCCTAGGAAGCTGAAAGTTCAACACAGCAGTACTGCTCTCGTACACAAAAAAAGCAAAGGTTTAGTCGCACTCGTAGGCTCCATTAGATAAATAGATAAAAAAATATATCTATATATATATATATAGATCCATATAGCTACCAATATACGTATATGTATATATATATATATACACATATGTGTATGTATATTATATGTACATGGATATATATATATATATATATATATGCACACTCATACGTATATATATATATATATATATATATACAGATAGATAGATAGATAGATAGATAGATAGATAACCCACAACCCCGGTACGTCACAATCCCCAACCCTAAACTATTTTCGTCTGTAACCCGGAATATATAATATATAAAATATTTATTTATTTAATTATTATTTTGTTGGTGCGTGTCCAAACGTGTCACCGGCCACGTGCCTTAAACCAACCGGCCGCATTCAATGTACACTGCGTGCCGTGCCGTGCCGTGTCGTGTCGTGTCATCAAATAATTTATTTTAAAAAGTTTAAACAAATAAATATTTAGGTGCCTGCGTGTCCTGGCGTGTCCGATCGTGGCGTGTCCTAACGTGTCCTAGCGTGTCCTAGCGTGTCCTGGCGTGTCCTTGGGCCATGTCCTCGGCGTGTCCTGGTACTAGGTATAAGTTCGGGTCCTAGTATTCTGGTATTCTGATACGAGTATAGGTGCCGGCGTCTATGTACTGCACAGTGTACTTCGGATCGGTGTGCTGATGGGGTCGTTTTTGATAGGCCGGATTCTGGGGTTTAAGAGTCGATGCCTGCGATCGCACATTGGCAGTGTCCACATAAGCACTGCTGCTTGACTGCTTGGTCGACTTAAGATCGGCTAAAGCAGAAAAAGCTGCTCTCTGGTCGCAAAGTGCAGGCTTGCCTTAACAGGTTAGCCCTGGCGCAGTTGGTCATGCCGTTTGCACCACGAACATAGCGGATCGGGACTTTATTTGT